ATCTCCGTAGAATACATGTCAGTAGAATACATGTCAGTAGAGTGCATCTCAGTAGAACGCATCTCAGTAGAGTACATCTCAGTAGAATACATCTCAGTAGAGTACATCTCAGAGTGCATCTCAGTAGAATTCATCTCAGTAGAATGCATCTCAGTAGAGTACATCTCAGTAGAATTCATCTTAGTAGAATACATCTCAGTAGAGTACATCTCATTAGAGTACATCTCAGTAGAGTACATCTCAGTAGAGTGCATCTCAGTAGAGTGCATCTCAGTAGAGTACATCTCAGTAGAGTACATATCAGTAGAGTGCATCTCAGTAGAGTACATCTCATTAGAGTACATCTCAGAGTGCATCTCAGTAGAATTCATCTCAGTAGAATGCATCTCAGTAGAGTACATTTCAGTAGAATTCATCTTAGTAGAATACATCTCAGTAGAATACATCTCAGTAGAGTACATCTCAGTAGAGTACATCTCAGTAGAGTACATCTCAGTAGAGTGCATCTCAGTAGAGTACATCTCAGTAGAGTACATCTCAGTAGAATACATCTCAATAGAGTACATCTCAGTAGAGTACATCTCAGTAGAGTACATCTCAGTAGAATACATGTCAGTAGAATACATGTCAGTAGAGTGCATCTCAGTAGAACACATCTCAGTAGAGTACATCTCAGAGTGCATCTCAGTAGAATTCATCTCAGTAGAATACATCTCAGTAGAATACATCTCAGTAGAGTGCATCTCAGTAGAATACATCTCAGTAGAATACATCTCAGTAGAGTACATCTCAGTAGAGTGCATCTCAGTAGAGTACATCTCAGTAGAGTACATCTCAGTAGAATACATCTCAATAGAGTACATCTCAGTAGAGTACATCTCAGTAGAGTACATCTCAGTAGAGTACATCTCAGTAGAATACATGTCAGTAGAATACATGTCAGTAGAGTGCATCTCAGTAGAACACATCTCAGTAGAGTACATCTCAGAGTGCATCTCAGTAGAATTCATCTCAGTAGAATACATCTCAGTAGAATACATCTCAGTAGAATACATCTCAGTAGAGTGCATCTCAGTAGAATACATCTCAGTAGAATACATCTCAGTAGAGTACATCTCAGTAGAGTACATCTCAGTAGAGTACATCGCAGTAGAGTACATCGCAGTAAAATACATCTCAGTAGAGTACATCTCAGTAGAGTACATCTCAGTAGAGTACATCTCAGTAGAGTACATCTCAGTAGAGTGCATCTCAGTAGAATACATCTCAGTAGAATACATCTCAGTAGAGTACATCTCAGTAGAGTACATCTCAGTAGTGTCCATCTCAGTAGAGTACATCTCAGTAGAACACATCTCAGTAGAGTACATCTCAGTAGAGTACATCTCAGTAGAGTGCATCTCAGTAGAATACATCTAAGTGGAGTGCATCTCAGTGGAGCACATCTCAGTAGAGTACATCTCAGTAGAACACATCTCAGTAGAGTACATCTCAGTAGAATACATCTAAGTGGAGTGCATCTCAGTGGAGCACATCTCAGTAGAGTACATCTCAGTAGAACACATCTCAGTAGAGTACATCTCAGTAGAGTACATCTCAGTAGAGTGCATCTCAGTAGAATACATCTCAGTAGAGTGCATCTCAGTAGAGTGCATCTCAGTAGAATACATCTCAGTAGAGTGCATCTCAGTAGAGTACATCTCAGTAGAGTACATCTCAGTAGAGTACATCTCAGAGTACATCTCAGTAGAGTGCATCTCAGTAGAATACATCTCAGTTGAGTGCATCTCAGTGGAGTACATCTCAGTAGAGTACATCTCAGTAGAATACATCTCAGTAGAATACATCTCAGTAGAGTACATCTCAGTAGAATACATCTCAGTAGAGTACATCTCAGTGTGTTATGTTACCTACTCTGTTAGTGTTTATTTACTCACGTGACTTTCTAAGGCCATGTGCTGGTGAAACATAATAGCAGAAGGAAGAAGTTTTCATGTGACAGTAGTGTGTAATTTGATATGCACGCTTTTTGTGGGATGGATCTCGTCTCTGTGGGAAACATGTTGTTAGGCAAATATGACATGGCATTGAACCGACTTGTCATGTGATGGGTTTCATGATTGAACAATTGTGTTTATCTGTTATTTACAACTTTTTTCCTGACGTACTGGTTGATGAGCTGATTGCGTTTGAAATTTTGTAATATCTAAGAGTTACCATGGTTACAGACATACGAAGTAACTTGTTGATGTTCTGGTTGATAAGTGGCCTTTATGAAATTGATTTATTAATAATATTTATTGATTAAATAAGGAAATGAGGGCACTACTCTGCAACAAATATATATTACATAGAAAGAATATTTCATCTGCATCCATCATTCAACCTTTCTTTCTGTCGTACTGAGTGGTGTTTAATCCAGATGGTTAAACAAGTTGTAATGGAAATAAATTGATCCCCAAACATATTTGCTGATCTCTTAAAGGCATGGTCAGTTGGGTTATATAAAATAAAATTAAGACTAAATTAATTTTTCCCCTTCAAATATCAACCTGTGGACATAAGCTTTAGTCTTGTAGCACAACTGGGCCTCATCTGTGGAATAATCTTCCTTTTCATATCAGACTTTCAAAACTTTGGAATCATTTAAATCACAATTCAAGACATCTTTTCCGTGAAGCATCTGACTTGCAAGAGGCAGGTCTGTAGGTGGAGAAACTGTATTGGGGCACTGTGCCACGTACCACTCTACAAGTCTATCTGTATACAGTAAACTATGGTTATAACTCAAAAGGACCATTAATTTTAGTTCATAATAAAAAAACGTAGTTCGTTATAAGCATGTATACAGCATATATACAACAAATGTCTGGGACTAGGACATAAGTCGTTGTATCAGTCAGTTCGTTATAAGTGTGTTCATTATAAATGTAGTTTACTTTAAAGTGATTGTTATTGTTCAGCTGTCGTGCTTTTAGCAGTCACCCAGTGTATGGAGGCAAGCGCAACAGAAGTACACATTATTATAATGGTTAACTATTGGCCTTTTCGTTCCCCAATACTCACCAAGTGATTAACTAATACTGGCCTTAAGGTAACCTATTACTGGCCTAATGATTAGCTAATACTGGCCTGAAGATTAACTAATACTGGCCTGAAGATTAACTAATACTGGTCTAATGATTAACTAATACTGGCCTAATGATTAACTTATACTGGCCTAATGAGTTTGTTTTGGTCTAGTTTCTCCTATCAAACACAAGCTGGTCCCTTGTCTGATGGTGACAATGTTCCACATGACACTAGAGGACGGTGATATATATAGCTCACTGTGGGCTATTCCTGGAACACCATGCATAACAACATACTTCACACTGTTCACATAGCTGGCTGTGGTGGTAGGAAAGACAAGTGAATGTGTCATAGCACAGGCGTATTCCCAGTACTGGGTGTCACATGATTTGGTGTAGTCACTAAAACTGGGCTTATTCCCAGTTCTGGGTGTCACATGATGTGGTGAAGTCACTAACACTGGGCTTATTCACAGTACTGGGTGTCACATGATGTGGTGAAGTCACTAACACTGGGCTTATTCCCAGTTCTGGGTGTCACATGATGTGGTGTAGTCACTAACACTGGGCTTATTTACAGTACTGGGTGTCACATGATGTGGTGTAGTCACTAACACTGGGCTTATTCCCAGTACTGGGTGTCACATGGTGTGGTGTAGTCACTAACACTAGGTGTCAAATGATGTGGTGAAGTCACTAACACTGGGCTTATTCACAGTACTGGGTGTCACATGATGTGGTGTAGTCACTAACGCTGGGCTTATTCCCAGTTCTGGGTGTCACATGATGTGGTGTAGTCACTAACACTGGGCTTATTCCCAGTACAGGGTGTCACATGATGTGGTGAAGTCACTAACACTGGGCTTATTCACAGTGCTGGGTGTCACATGATGTGGTGAAGTCACTAACACTGGGCTTATTCCCAGTACTGGGTGTCACGTGAAGTAGTGTAGTCAGTAACACTGGGCGTATTCCCAGTACTGGGTGTCACATGATGTGGTTTAGTCGCCAACACTGGGCTTATTCCCAGTACAGGGTGTCACATGATATGCTGTAGTCAGTAACACTGGGCGTATTCCCAATACAGGGTGTCACATGATGTGGTGTAGTTACTAACACTGGGCTTATTCCCAGTACTGGGTGTCACATGAAGTGGTTTAGTCGCCAACACTGGGTGTCACATGATGTGGTGAAGTCACTAACACTGGGCTTATTCCCAGTACTGGGTGTCACATGATGTTGTGTAGTCCCCAACACTGGGCTTATTCCAGTACCATGTGATGTGGTCTAGTCACTAACACTGGGCTTATTCCCAGTACTGGTTGTCACATGGTGTGGTTAAGTCACTAACACTGGGCTTATTCCAAGTACTGGGTGTCACATGGTGTGGTCTAGTCACTAGCACTGGGCTTATTCCCAGTACTGGGTGTCACATGATGTGGTGAAGTCACTAACACTGGGCTTATTCCCAGTACTGGGTGTCACATGGTGTGGTTTAGTCACTAGCACTGGGCTTATTCCCAGTACTGGGTGTCACATGGTGTGGTTTAGTCACTAGCACTGGGCTTAATCTCCAGTACTGGGTGTCTGGAGATGTGTTGTAGTCACTAGCACTGGGCTTATTCCCAGTACTGGGTGTCACATGGTGTGGTTTAGTCACTAGCACTGGGCTTAATCTCCAGTACTGGGTGTCTGGAGATGTGTTGTAGTCACTAGCACTGGGCTTATTCCCAGTACTGGGTGTCACATGGTGTGGTGTAGTCAGTAACACTATTAACAACACTACAGGCAGGACTGGGTATAGTCATGTTATCTATAAATTGAGATTACAATATATACAATGGTAGTTTATTGCTATGGAAATAACCCATGTCCAGATTTAGAATCTGCAGTCAGCTCTACATTTACTGCTGCTTATCTATGTTTCAGAACGCCGGAAGATTAGAATGTACAAGATCTTCAAAAGTGAGTTTTCTTTTTGTTTTCCATACACATTGAATGTTTAATGTCTTATGTGTTTATTTTGTTTGGGTTTTTTTCTTGTATTTATAAATTTGCTTCTAGAGTTGTTTCCCCTTGTCTATACATTGCTAGGGTCGGTGTTACGTGTCGTGTGCTAGTATTCAGGCATAATTCATAGACAGAGCTGTTTGGAGACACAAATACATGAAACTTGACCACATGGACTCGGACCCGGTCAGTCGTCGCTTTGTAAATGGGAGATGATTGGAGGTGGTTTTCAATTTGACCATTTCCATGGCTTTTTTAAAAACCTTGGCCATCTCAGGGAAATCATTGTGTTTTCTCTCCTGGGTATATGTGAGGTCAAGGCGACCCATGACATGTCATGTCATATCTCCTTGACACATTGATCAATCATTAAGTTGAAATTCACTTTCAGAGTCATGCACTCAAACATGAATTTATTTATGATAGCTCACATAGTGTTTGTGGTTGTAGGATAATAAAATTTGGTACATATCTCCCTTTGATTACTTTCATCTATTACAAAGTTGTAGTAGGTATGTAGTTCACCAAACTGAACTTTACCGAAGACAATGGCAGCACACTGGAAATATGTGGTGGTATGTAACCATTTCTGGGGCCTTCTAGAAATAGCAGTTAAGGGTAGCGTTTTTTTAAGTACACTACCATATTTCCTCAATTAAATGCCCAGGCATATCTTTCTTTCAGACATTCAGCATTTAATTAAGAATATAATGTACTCAAAAGAAGTTAAAATAACCGATTAATTCATATTATTGTAGATACTCCTTTTTTAGAAAATAGTTTTGGAGTAGTATACTTGCAAACCCTTTTTGTAGTTTTCCTCACAGTTTTCAGGTTGACCTCATGAGACTGCTGGTCTTGAATACATGGTGCAATTTTATAAAGACAATCCTGCTGAAATAGTTCTGCTGTGATAGAAAATAATGAAAAGCCGCTTGAACAAAATAGTAAGCAAGTAAAAGATTTGATTGATTTTAAACAACACTCGCAAAGCTATTTGTATGGAAACAATACACAGAATATTGGCACAGAAGGATGGGCTATGATACACAGCCCTTGTTGATTATGTACTCTAACCCTCTCTGACCCTCGGTGTCTATTCCTGCAGCCTTCTCAGAGTTGTGTGCTAATGGGGAGACAGAGAAGGTCCGCGATCTGCTGTCCAACAACTGGACAGACCTGCGCAGGATCCTCGGCTGTGTCCCTAAAGGTGGATTCCCAGCCCTTTCCAGGTAACTGTAGGGGCCGCACACGTTGATGTTATTGTATATTCCAAGCCCTTTCCAGGTAACTAGGGGCCGCATACATTGATGGTGTTGTATTATTCCCAGCCCTTTCCAGGTAACTAGGGGCCGCACACACTGATGGTGTTGTATATTCCAAGCCCTTTCCAGGTAACTAGGGGCCGCATACATTGATGGTGTTGTATATTCCCAGCCCTTTCCAGGTAACTAGGGGCCACACACTGATGGTGTTGTATATTCCCAGCCCTTTCCAGGTAACTAGGGGCCAGACACACTGATGGTGTTGTATATTCCTGGCCCTTTCAAGATATCTAGGGGCCGCACACACTGATGGTGTTGTATATTCCCGGCCCTTTCCAGGTAACTGTAGGGGCCACACACTGATGGTGTTGTATATTCCCAGCCCTTTCCAGGTAACTAGGGGCCGCATACATTGATGGTGTTGTATATTCCCAGCCCTTTCCAGGTAACTAGGGGCCGCACACACTGATGGTGTTGTATATTCCCGGCCCTTTCCAGGTAACTAGGGGCCGCACACATTGATGGTGTTGTATATTCCAAGCCCTTTCCAGGTAACTAGGGGCCGCATACATTGATGGTGTTGTATATTCCCAGCCCTTTCCAGGTAACTGTAGGGGCCACACACACTGATGGTGTTGTATATTCCCGGCCCTTTCCAGGTAACTAGGGGCCACACACATTGATGGTGTTGTATATTCCCAGCCCTTTCCAGGTAACTAGGGGCCAGACACACTGATGGTGTTGTATATTCCTGGCCCTTTCAAGATATCTAGGGGCCGCACACACTGATGGTGTTGTATATTCCCGGCCCTTTCCAGGTAACTGTAGGGGCCACACACTGATGGTGTTGTATATTCCCAGCCCTTTCCAGGTAACTAGGGGCCGCATACATTGATGGTGTTGTATATTCCCAGCCCTTTCCAGGTAACTAGGGGCCGCACACACTGATGGTGTTGTATATTCCCGGCCCTTTCCAGGTAACTAGGGGCCGCACACATTGATGGTGTTGTATATTCCAAGCCCTTTCCAGGTAACTAGGGGCCGCATACATTGATGGTGTTGTATATTCCCAGCCCTTTCCAGGTAACTGTAGGGGCCACACACACTGATGGTGTTGTATATTCCCGGCCCTTTCCAGGTAACTAGGGGCCACACACATTGATGGTGTTGTATATTCCCAGCCCTTTCCAGGTAACTAGGGGCCACACACACTGATGGTGTTGTATATTCCCAACCCTTTCCAGGTAACTAGGGGCCACACACACTGATGGTGTTGTATATTCCCAACCCTTTCCAGGTAACTGTAGGGGCCGCACACACTGATGGTGTTGTATATTCCCAACCCTTTCCAGGTAACTGTAGGGGCCGCACAAACTGATGGTGTTGTATATTCCCAGCCCTTTCCAGGTAACTGTAGGGGCCGCACACACTGATGGTGTTGTATCTTCCCGGCCCTTTCCAGGTAACTAGGGGCCGCACACACTGATGGTGTTGTATCTTCCCGGCCCTTTCCAGGTAACTAGGGGCCGCACATACTGATGGTGTTGTATATTCCCAGCCCTTTCCAGGTAACTAGGGGCCACACACATTGATGGTGTTGTATCTTCCCGGCCCTTTCCAGGTAACTAGGGGCCGCACATACTGATGGTGTTGTATATTCCCAGCCCTTTCCAGGTAACTAGGGGCCACACACATTGATGGTGTTGTATCTTCCCGGCCCTTTCCAGGTAACTAGGGGCCGCACATACTGATGGTGTTGTATAATCCCAGCCCTTTCCAGGTAACTAGGGGCCACACACATTGATGGTGTTGTATATTCCCAGCCCTTTCCAGGTAACTAGGGGCCGCACATACTGATGGTGTTGTATATTCCCGGCCCTTTCCAGGTAACTAGGGGCCGCATACATTGATGGTGTTGTATATTCCCGGCCCTTTCCAGGTAACTAGGGGCCGCACACATCGATGGTGTTGTATATTCCCGGCCCTTTCCAGGTAACTAGGGGCCACATACATCGATGGTGTTGTATATTCCCAACCCTTTCCAGGTAACTAGGGGCCGCATACATCGATGGTGTTGTATATTCCCAACCCTTTCCAGGTAACTAGGGGCCGCATACATCGATGGTGTTGTATATTCCAAGCCCTTTCCAGGTAACTAGGGGCCGCATACATCGATGGTGTTGTATATTCCCAACCCTTTCCAGGTAACTGTAGGGGCCCCACACACTGATGGTGTTGTATATTCCCGGCCCTTTCCAGGTAACTAGGGGCCGCACACACTGATGGTGTTGTATCTTCCCAGCCCTTTCCAGGTAACTAGGGGCCGCACATACTGATGGTGTTGTATATTCCCAGCCCTTTCAAGGTAACTAGGGGCCACACACATTGATGGTGTTGTATATTCCCGGCCCTTTCCAGGTAACTAGGGGCCACACACACTGATGGTGTTGTATATTCCCGGCCCTTTCCAGGTAACTGTAGGGGCCGCACACACTGATGGTGTTGTATATTCCCAACCCTTTCCAGGTAACTGTAGGGGCTGCACACACTGATGGTGTTGTATCTTCCCAGCCCTTTCCAGGTAACTAGGGGCCACACATACTGATGGTGTTGTATCTTCCCAGCCCTTTCCAGGTAACTGTAGGGGCCGCACACACTGATGGCGTTGTATATTCCCAACCCTTTCCAGGTAACTAGGGGCCACACACACTGATGGTGTTGTATATTCCCAGCCCTTTCAAGGTAACTAGGGGCCACACACATTGATGGTGTTGTATATTCCCAGCCCTTTCCAGGTAACTAGGGGCCACACACACTGATGGTGTTGTATATTCCCAGCCCTTTCAAGGTAACTAGGGGCCACACACACTCATGGTGTTGTATATTCCCTGCCTCTCATGTTGGATCATTGGATATTGTCTGCCGACATAGGACTATGGAAGTAGGAGTGATAGGACTATACAGAGATATAAAGTCGGCAGGCATTTTGGGGGTTTGGACCCAGCAAGCAGAAGTAGTACATGTATTTAGGCCTACAGATCACACAAACAAAATTAATATACTGGGCTGGGAGTTATCACATAAGCGCTATGATCGCTTTGTGGAAGGGACCCCTGAACGTCTAAAGAAACTACAGTCAAGTCTCGTTTATCCTACACTCGTTAATCCGACAATCGGCTTTATCCGACACAAATGATGGGAACCGATTAAATCAGTGCTGTTTAGACCCGTTAATCCGACAGTCACGCACTCCGACTCCGACACACCTAATTTGCAACGATTTGCTGAAATCACTTATTAATCAGTCTTGTTAATCCGACACGGTGATCAGCATACTCCATGGTCATCTGCCCGCGAGTACATAGCCCCATGTTTTGATGCGAGACGAGTCAGCCAGTAGCTGCATATTTAAACGGCTGCAGAGATAAACTTTGTGTATTGTGTTAAACTTTAGAGGTTGCATGATTAGAAAACATATTCCGCGAACAATGTAACACAACAATATGAATATTTCCTTTTTCCTTTTTATATTACAAGATGTTTGAATCGTTATCTATCGTGTAGTTGTCCAATTTTCGATAACGAACGTTGATAATACCTAATTTCGTTTATCCGACATACTCGTTAATCCGACATAATCATATGCAACCAACAATGACAGATTAACGTGATTGACTGTATGTTAGTGTGTAACATCCCTGCTTCTGAGAATGACTGTAATGAGAAATGTTATGTTAGTTTAAGATCAAAATTTTAGGGTAACAAGCTTTTATGTTATGTTATGTTTTCAGTGCTGTGAAGTCTGGCAGCTTTGATTTGGTTGAGCTTTTGCTGGAGCTTGGAGCGAAGCCCATTCCCCACACAGAGAATGGACTCACCCCGCTCCATCTGGCTTGTGAGACAGGGACAGTAGAGGTTGTCTCCATTCTTATGAAGGTAGGGATGTCCTTATGTTAAGGAATATTTTCATTGCTTATTGAATTGAAGGGGACTGTTTTCATTGCATTGAATTGAAATGTAGCTGACATTTCAGCAAATAATTCAAGTGTCATTCATACACTCCCATAAAAAGTATAAACATCCCGCATCTGCCAAGTTTGTGTGGAACGTGTGTATTATATTTCTGTCATTTTAAAAGAATAAAATAAGAAGAATGTAAGGAGTATTGGTTTCTCACCAGTGGTGTATTTAGGTTCTGGTTTACATAAATACTAATGGCATCTGCGTTTCCCCTTCAGAAGTTCACCGACCTCTGTATCATGCGAACCGTGGACCACCAGCTGCCATTCCACCGGGCTGCGGCCTGTGGACGCACAGACATCCTGCAATATCTCCTGGCGTTCCCGTACTCTGATAACTTTCTCCACTCGTACGTTGACAAGCGCTCTGGCCGCTACTACTACTCCAGCATCGACGTTAACCCCATCGACTCCACCGGCATGACGCCGCTGCACCTGGCTACAGAGACGGGATCTCTGGAGGCGGTGAAGCTTCTCCTGGACCATACGGCCAAGCTGGAAGATGACGATGAGCCTCTTGAGTCTGCTGCTCAGACGGTCTATGCCCGGATGACCAGCACGACCTCGGAAGGTCACTCTCTAGACAAGGAGGTAGACCCATACAGGATCCACCCAGTTGACAGGGACATCAAGTCAAACGAAGGCCTGACGGCACTGCATTACTCTATAAAGAACCACCACCCAGACATCGCACAGGTGCTGGTGAAGGGAGGGACAGATCTGAGCACTATGGTAATGGTGGATGAGTCTCCGTTGTCGTACCTAGCGTACACATTAGTGCGAGGGGATCCTGAGGTGTTTGAGCTGCTGCTGAGACATGGAGCAGAAGACATGGACAACATCTCCATGAAGCGAGCGCAGGAGACGAACAACAAGGAGATCATCCAGTTGCTGCTGCAGCACAAGACATCTAAGGATCACATCCACACCATTAACAGGACTGAAATGAAACTGGCATATGCCGAGGCCCATAGCAGCCTTAAGAGTTACCCTGACCGGACAAGTCTGCCTGATGAGTACAGGAGAGTGTTTCCATCCTGCCCTGTGTCAGTGAACTGGCACAGGCAACAGCTGGATAGCATAGACAAGCAGTGCCTCATCAGAGCAAGTTTCGTACACAACTTAGCAATGAGACCGATCGATAATAATTTAACAGCGCTCTATGCAATAACAAAGATTGATATTTCACATAACTATTTCACAGAGCTACCCAAAATCATGTTTGAGTTGCCTTCTCTCCAAGTATTGAATGCTGCTGAAAATCGGATCAAAAGGTTCCCACTGGAAAAGGACTTGGAGCGAGCGGTGGAGTGTCTCCAGATCGAGGAGCTCCACCTACAGGTCAACAGTCTGGAGATGCTACCCAACTATCTGTTCCGTCTGCCAGCCCTCAAGTACTTCAACGTGTCCAGGAACTGTCTGAAGAGAGTTCCGATTGACATGTGGACAGCTCCCACTCTCAACCACTTCAACCTGGCTCAGAATGACCTGACTCAACTCCCCCACTGGGAGATTGGTGAGCCCAATCTGAGCAGACGGTCAACTATTGCTTCTTTAGCATCATCGTCAAATTCAGACCATGGAGATTTTGAGAATGACAGTGGATGTGGTTTCTTAAATGAGGGCCCGTATCAGGAGCCACATGAAAACACTGTCCACCATTATGATTGGTGGAGGCAGAGACTAACAGTCAGTGATCTCGATAGGCATAAAATGAATGATAATCAGACAGGTATTCGCCACTTAAATATCGCAGGAAATAAGTTCATTGAGGTGCCTCCATGTCTGGCGTGTTGTGCCCCTTACCTGGAGGTTCTCAACATGACAGACAATCGGCTGGACACTGTCGGACCTTTAGGTCATTTGCCCCAAAGTCTCATTGAACTGAATCTGTGCCGAACTGGACTTGAATCACTGTTTCCATGGATACAGAATGCTCTTCAAGACCAGCATTGTTTCGGATTAAGCAAAAGGTAAGCACTGTGTTTGTTGTTATACGTTTGTACATACATTAAGAATGTTTTGTTTGTTATTCTAATGCTGCCCTCAGCAGTATTCCGGCTATATGGCCGCGAAGTTGAACTATTGAGATGAAATAAACGGCCAATGATTGATATTATGAGCAATGGCCCCTGCCATCAGGGTACAATGACACTCAGAACGTCACTGTGACCACCCAATCCGTGTAATTGCCTTGTATGACAAGCATAGATTTCTGGCCACCTATAATCCCAATGGGGTAGTCTGAGCAAGACAAGATCATGACAAAAAGGGCCTTGTATTTGACCCTGTGCAGCGTTAGACATGGCACTTGTCTTAAAGTCCTATATCAACTGCCCAATAGTTAGGGTATCATAAGGATGTAGATGCAGAAATTTGCCCTTTTTAAGGGTTTTGCTATATGTTATCATTATGAGGACCAGTGGACTAAAACTATTCTGTGGCAGCAGTGTTCAGACTGTTATAGACACTTTTTTGACAGTGTTTAGTCTGTTGTAGACACTGTCTTGACAGTGTTTAGTCTGTTGTAGACACTGTCTTGACAGTGTTTAGTCCGTTGTAGACACTGTCTTGACAGTGTTTAGTCCGTTGTAGACAATGTCTTGACAGTGTTTAGTCCGTTGTAGACACTGTCTTGACAGTGTTTAGTCCGTTGTAGACACTGTCTTGACAGTGTTTAGTCCGTTGTAGACACTGTCTTGACAGTGTTAAGTCCGTTGTAGACACTGTCTTGAAAGTGTTAAGTCCGTTGTAGACACTGTCTTGAAAGTGTTTAGTCCGTTGTAGACACTGTCTTGACAGTGTTTAGTCCGTTGTAGACACTGTCTTGACAGTGTGTAGTCCGTTGTAGACACTGTCTTGACAGTGTTAAGTCCGTTGTAGACACTGTCTTGACAGTGTTTAGTCCGTTGTAGACACTATCTTGACAGTGTTTAGTCTGTTGTAGACACTGTTGTGACAGTATTCTGACCTTGCAGCGCTAGCTCCCCGACGCAGTTCCGAATGTCCCCTCGAAGTCACTCCCCCTCGATCTCCTCCGTCAGTAGCTTCTCCCCGCTCCAGGCCGCCGCCGCCATCAACTGTCCCCACTGTTGTCACGTGCAGCTCCCTCTCCTGGAGAAACTCAACCTGTCTCACAACAAACTGCGAGGCGTTGTCCTCACAAAGATGGCGCGGACCATATCTGCCACGAGCATGGATGTCACAGTCAGTATTGTGCTCTACCTTTCTTGTTGCCATGTTTACATGGATAGGCATATTAATATATAAACTTGAGTTTTACCTATTGTAGATGTTAAGATTGCTGTTTTGACACAGAAATTATGGTTCTGTAGTTGATTGCTGACTGATTACCCAATGCACTTTGATACCATACATATATAGTCCAAGAAACAGCCTACTAGTATTTGTCTGAGGCCAAAAGGTTTGAAAGCCAATCTCTAGATCGAGCTTGGAATCTGAAAAAGACCCAGCTGTGACCGGTATGAATTGGGTTTTCAAATGCAGAGCTATGTGTTGGTTGAAACCTTTTAGTCTCAGACACATTGCTACAAGAGGGCTGGCCCTGGACCAAACCATCATTCTGTATCATATGGTTCATAAATTGTTGAATTTTCATGATCATATGGCTGTGTTAGGTGTGGCTGTGTATACCTCATCCCTGTACATTTGGTGTGTCATAGATAATAACGTTTGTGTGACTTCAGGCAGCCAACTTCAGCATGGAGTCGGACGAGATCCAGAGCCGCTTGCTGTTCCCCAACATGAGCGAGTTGGACGTCAGTTACAACAACCTGACTTGTCTTCCTCCAGACATTGGAGAACTCACAAACCTCAAAGTTCTCTCCCTTAGTCGCAATCCACTCAAAGAGGTATGTATATTTGAGAACATGTTTCCACCAGTTGGACCAGTATGTGATACTGTTGTAGTAGGTATCTGTTGTTTCCACCATTCAGGTATCTTGACTTTATTGACTTAGAAAAGTTGGTGATGGTAATGAAGAGCCTACTAGGCTAAAAAAAAATAATAGTCTTGGTTCTCAGGCACCACCCGCATCATCATAAAGTCTGCCGCACATTTTGTTTTTATTTCCATTTTTAAAAAAATATTAAAATCTTGATACTTTTACACAATGTGATCCAAAATAGCACACAGTTACTTCCCTTTACATGTGCACTGCTTTACGGCACATCTAGTGTTATGGTCATGGTGGCAGTAGCAGCTTGTATGCTTGTTCATGTAGGGAGGCCCTTTCCCAGGATGATTGTACACAACTGTTTATTTGGTTACATGCTAGTTTGAACAAGCAAAAAAACAAAAAACACCGCCCACCCGCCTGCACTATATTTTCAAAAGTCATTGGACCGCCTCCGTGGTCTAATGGTAGAGCGTCCGCCCGGGGTTCGATCCCTAGCCGCGTCATACCAAAAGACGGTACTTGTTGTTACCCTGTCTGGCGCTCGGCATTAAGGGGCTAAAACAAGGACTGGTCAGCTTGGAGTCAGTATACTGTGTCTGAGTGGGGTATTCATGTTAAACTGTGGCATGGTATCTCAGTGTGCTAGCAATAAAATTAGGCATCAGTCCGGACTAGTACAAGCAGCCACACACACACACACATACATGTGCATGCACGTCACTATATAAATGCAATAATCTTGGACGCGACGTTAAACCCCATTTCACCTCACCTCACCTCTGAAGTCATTGCCTGAGAACCAATTGTTATTTTTTTAAGCCCAATAGGTAGTATTTGACAAGATAAATTAGTTTAATATTGTGTTACCGTACTGCAGCTAAGCCAGTGTCTACGATGTTATTGTATTGCCTGTTATTGTGTGTAGTTATGCTACAGCTGTCTTCCCTTCTCAGCTGCCACCAAAGTTAGGTCTGCTGAAGAAGTTGTGGAAGCTGGAGCTGGAGTTGTGTCCCCTGGATGGGGTGATCCAGGACATGATCAAGTCCTCCCGCTACCCCACCAAGGACATCCTCGGCTTCCTCCTCTCCGTCCTGGAAGAGTAAGTCTACCGTGCATGGTCTCAGAGACATGTTTTTTTAGAAAAAACGACTTGTGGTCATTGTTTATCGTACAATAAAACACTGCAGGGAGAATAAACCATGAGGGTGCGGCCCCGAGAGGTTTGTTCCCCTGGCAGTGTTTTTTTATATGATAAACAACAACCATAATTTGTTTATTTCTTATATCAACGCTATGTACAGCCTCTTTGTCAATGATGTCAATAAAATGTAAATGCTTTAAAAACATTTACCCGGTATTTGAATAATGATGACTCTCTGAATATAATGTCAGACTAGTCCATTTTATGAACAGGGAGGCTACATTTCCTATATTCTCATAATTTTCAAGTCAATAATCAGTGCCTTTTTTCCCAATTACCATTGTCATATCTCGCCCACTTTGAAGGCAATTGTTTGGTGGTTGTGTTCATCTGCATTGCCAAGCTACATCTACAGGGAAGAACTCAATAGACACTTCCCTCTCAAAAATAACGTTGTTCAATATATGACGTCATCAAGGTGCAAGCGCATGTTTGAATCATCATGATCGAACAATGTTTTTTTAGATAAACCACGCTTCCTTTTTCATTGTTCTTTGCGATTTATCACGTAGCTATCTTATATAGGAGTTTATATTGTTCACTGCACCTTTTGGGGTTTGTGAATTGTGTTGATGAAATGCTTGGCATTTCCTGACATGTTTCAAATGTAAGATAATTCATGAAGTGTTGTTAGATTTCACAAAAACGTATGTTTCAGTTTGTCATAAATTATGAAATTCTTCACCCTGAACATCCTGATTAGGAACCATTTCTGAATTTGTGGATTTCACCTAAGTGTTGACAGTCTTGGACGTGCACCACAATTAGCTTTCACAACAATAACTCGAGACTCGACTCACTCACATTGGGTGTTGCAGGTCCACGGAGTACAACTGCATGAACCTGATGATCGTCGGCTCCCATGAGATCGGGAAGACGTCACTGCTACAGCGCATCAACAAGGAGGGCAAGATGCCCAGCTTAGCCACAGTGAGGACACACCGCCACCAGGGGGAACATGGGGCTTCAGGCCACACCGCCACCAGGGCTTCTGTCAGGGGAACATGGGGCTTCAGGACACACTGCCACCAGGGGGAACATGGGGCTTCAGGCCACACTGCCACCAGGGGGAACATGGGGCTTCAGGCCACACTGCCACCAGGGCTTCTGTCAGGGGAACATGGGGCTTTAGGCCACACTACCACCAGGGCTTCTGTCAGGGGAACATGGGGCTTCAGGCCACACCGCCACCAGGGCTTCTGTCAGGGGAACATGGGGCTTCAGGCCACACTGCCACCAGGGCTTCTGTCAGGGGAACATGGGGCTTCAGGCCACACTGCCACCAGGGCTTCTGTCAGGGGAACATGGGGCTTCAGGACACACTGCCACCAGGGCTTCTGTCAGGGGAACATGGGGCTTCAGGCCACACTGCCACCAGGGCTTCTGTCAGGGGAACATGGGGCTTCAGGCCACACCGCCACCAGGGCTTCTGTCAGGAGAACATGGGGCTTCAGGCCACACTGCCACCAGGGCTTCTGTCAGGGGAACATGGGGCTTTAGGACACACTGCCACCAGGGGGAACATGGGGCTTCAGGCCACACTGCCACCAGGGGGAACATGGGGCTTCAGGCCACACTGCCACCAGGGCTTCTGTCAGGGGAACATGGGGCTTTAGGACACACTGCCACCAGGGGGAACATGGGGCTTCAGGCCACACTGCCACCAGGGCTTCTGTCAGGGGAACATGGGGCTTCAGGCCACACTGCCACCAGGGCTTCTGTCAGGGGAACATGGGGCTTCAGGCCACACTGCCACCAGGGCTTCTGTCAGGGGAACATGGGGCTTCAGGACACACTGCCACCAGGGGGAACATGGGGCTTCAGGCCACACTGCCACCAGGGGGAACATGGGGCTTCAGGCCACACTGCCACCAGGGGGAACATGGGGCTTTAGGACACACTGCCACCAGGGGGAACATGGGGCTTCAGGCCACACTGCCACCAGGGCTTCTGTCAGGGGAACATGGGGCTTCAGGCCACACTGCCACCAGGGCTTCTGTCAGGGGAACATGGGGCTTTAGGACACACTGCCACCAGGGGGAACATGGGGCTTCAGGACACACTGCCACCAGGGGGAACATGGGGCTTCAGGACACACTGCCACCAGGGCTTCTGTCAGGGGAACATGGGGCTTCAGGCCACACTGCCACCAGGGCTTCTGTCAGGGGAACATGGGGCTTCAGGCCACACTGCCACCAGGGCTTCTGTCAGGGGAACATGGGGCTTCAGGCCACACTGCCACCAGGGCTTCTGTCAGGGGAACATGGGGCTTCAGGCCACACTGCCACCAGGGCTTCTGTCAGGGGAACATGGGGCTTCAGGACACACTGCCACCAGGGCTTCTGTCAGGAGAACATGGGGCTTCAGGCCACACTGCCACCAGGGCTTCTGTCAGGGGAACATGGGGCTTTAGGACACACTGCCACCAGGGGGAACATGGGGCTTCAGGCCACACTGCCACCAGGGGGAACATGGGGCTTCAGGCCACACTGCCACCAGGGCTTCTGTCAGGGGAACATGGGGCTTTAGGACACACTGCCACCAGGGGGAACATGGGGCTTCAGGCCACACTGCCACCAGGGCTTCTGTCAGGGGAACATGGGGCTTCAGGCCACACTGCCACCAGGGCTTCTGTCAGGGGAACATGGGGCTTCAGGCCACACTGCCACCAGGGCTTCTGTCAGGGGAACATGGGGCTTCAGGACACACTGCCACCAGGGGGAACATGGGGCTTCAGGCCACACTGCCACCAGGGGGAACATGGGGCTTCAGGCCACACTGCCACCAGGGGGAACATGGGGCTTTAGGACACACTGCCACCAGGGGGAACATGGGGCTTTAGGACACACTGCCACCAGGGGGAACATGGGGCTTCAGGCCACACTGCCACCAGGGCTTCTGTCAGGGGAACATGGGGCTTCAGGCCACACTGCCACCAGGGCTTCTGTCAGGGGAACATGGGGCTTCAGGCCACACTGCCACCAGGGCTTCTGTCAGGGGAACATGGGGCTTTAGGACACACTGCCACCAGGGGGAACATGGGGCTTCAGGACACACTGCCACCAGGGCTTCTGTCAGGGGAACATGGGGCTTTAGGACACACTGCCACCAGGGCTTCTGTCAGGGGAACATGGGGCTTCAGGACACACTGCCACCAGGGGGAACATTGGGCTTCAGGCCACACTGCCACCAGGGCTTCTGTCAGGGGAACATGGGGCTTCAGGCCACACTGCCACCAGGGCTTCTGTCAGGGGAACATGGGGCTTCAGGCCACACTGCCACCAGGGCTTCTGTCAGGGGAACATGGGGCTTCAGGCCACACTGCCACCAGGGCTTCTGTCAGGGGAACATGGGGCTTTAGGACACACTGCCACCAGGGGGAACATGGGGCTTCAGGCCACACTGCCACCAGGGCTTCTGTCAGGGGAACATGGGGCTTTAGGACACACTGCCACCAGGGGGAACATGGGGCTTCAGGACACACTGCCACCAGGGGGAACATGGGGCTTCAGGCCACACCGCCACCAGGGCTTCTGTCAGGGGAACATGGGGCTTCAGGCCACACTGCCACCAGGGCTTCTGTCAGGGGAACATGGGGCTTCAGGCCACACTGCCACCAGGGCTTTTGTCAGGGGAACATGGGGCTTTAGGACACACTGCCACCAGGGGGAACATGGGGCTTCAGGACACAATGCCACCAGGGGGAACATGGGGCTTCAGGACACACTGCCACCAGGGCTTCTGTCAGGAGAACATGGGGCTTCAGGCCACACTGCCACCAGGGCTTCTGTCAGGGGAACATGGGGCTTTAGGACACACTGCCACCAGGGGGAACATGGGGCTTCAGGACACACTGCCACCAGGGGGAACATGGGGCTTCAGGACACACTGCCACCAGGGCTTCTGTCAGGGGAACATGGGGCTTCAGGCCACACTGCCACCAGGGGGAACATGGGGCTTCAGGCCACACTGCCACCAGGGCTTCTGTCAGGGGAACATGGGGCTTCAGGCCACACTGCCACCAGGGCTTCTGTCAGGGGAACATGGAGGGGCGGTCGGGTAGCCTAGTGGTTAAAGCGTTCGCTCGTCACGCCGAAGACCCGGGTTCGATTCCCGACATGGGTACAATGTGTGAAGCCCATTTCTGGTGTCCCCCGCCGTGATATTGCTGGAATATTGCTAAAAGCGGCGTAAAACCATACTCAGTCAGTCAGTCAGGGGAACATGGGGCTTCAGGCCACACTGCCACCAGGGCTTCTGTCAGGGGAACATGGGGCTTTAGGACACACTGCCACCAGGGGGAACATGGGGCTTTAGGACACACTGCCACCAGGGCTTCTGTCAGGGGAACATGGGGCTTTAGGACACATTGCCACCAGGGCTTCTGTCAGGGGAACATGGGGCTTCAGGCCACACTGCCACCAGGGCTTCTGTCAGGGGAACATGGGGCTTCAGGCCACACTGCCACCAGGGCTTCTGTCAGGGGAACATGGGGCTTCAGGACACACTGCCACCAGGGGGAACATGGGGCTTTAGGACACATTGCCACCAGGGCTTCTGTCAGGGGAACATGGGGCTTCAGGCCACACTGCCACCAGGGGGAACATGGGGCTTCAGGACACACTGCCACCAGGGCTTCTGTCAGGGGAACATGGGGCTTCAGGCCACACTGCCACCAGGGGGAACATGGGGCTTTAGGACACATTGCCACCAGGGCTTCTGTCAGGGGAACATGGGGCTTCAGGCCACACTGCCACCAGGGCTTCTGTCAGGGGAACATGGGGCTTCAGGACACACTGCGACCAGGGCTTCTGTCAGGGGAACATGGGGCTTCAGGCCACACTGCCACCAGGGCTTCTGTCAGGGGAACATGGGGCTTTAGGACACACTGCCACCAGGGGGAACATGGGGCTTCAGGCCACACTGCCACCAGGGGGAACATGGGGCTTCAGGCCACACCGCCACCAGGGCTTCTGTCAGGGGAACATGGGGCTTCAGGCCACACTGCCACCAGGGCTTCTGTCAGGGGAACATGGGGCTTTAGGACACACTGCCACCAGGGGGAACATGGGGCTTCAGGCCACACTGCCACCAGGGGGAACATGGGGCTTCAGGCCACACCGCCACCAGGGCTTCTGTCAGGGGAACATGGGGCTTTAGGACACACTGCCACCAGGGGGAACATGGGGCTTCAGGCCACACTGCCACCAGGGCTTCTGTCAGGGGAACATGGGGCTTTAGGACCCACTGCCACCAGGGCTTCTGTCAGGGGAACATGGGGCTTCAGGACACACTGCCACCAGGGCTTCTGTCAGGGGAACATGGGGCTTTAGGCCACACTGCCACCAGGGCTTCTGTCAGGGGAACATGGGGCTTCAGGCCACACTGCCACCAGGGCTTCTGTCAGGGGAACATGGGGCTTCAGGCCACACTGCCACCAGGGCTTCTGTCAGGGGAACATGGGGCTTCAGGCCACACTGCCACCAGGGCTTCTGTCAGGGGAACATGGGGCTTCAGGCCACACTGCCACCAGGGCTTCTGTCAGGAGAACATGGGGCTTCAGGCCACACTGCCACCAGGGCTTCTGTCAGGGGAACATGGGGCTTTAGGCCACACTAAAGTTATTGTTACATTGCTATCCAAATTTTTAAAAAATGTGAAGGCATTTGCTTTTTGATTTTTTACATTTTTAAACAAGTTGTGTGCATGGACTGTGGACTGATGTGACCCACATCCGGTGATCAGCTACACGTACCCTTGCTGCGTTCGTCATTTAGGGGCTGAAACAAGGACTGGATGCCTCAGAGTCTGTATTGTCTGAGGGGGTTTCTATGTTGAACTGTGGAAGGTGTCGCAGTGGGCTAGAACTATAAAACTGACATTAGTCTGAACTAGTACAAGCAGGCACACACACAGAGTCAATATGTGTGTTGCTATATAAGTGCAATAATCTTGAACGTGATGTTAAACCTGATTTCACTTCGCCTCCAGCCACCAACAAGTAGGTGTAATTTGTATGACATGACACCCTGTCCAGTGTCCACTCACCTCCATATATTCAAGGAGCGTGGAGTTATGTACAACACCATTTGTTGAAATCTGTGTGATTGCTGGACATGTCTGCTTATAGCACTGGAAGGATCGGGTGAGCAATACGCAGGAAGTGCCACGTCCTCGAGGTCAGACCTTGTCCACAGTCGGCATAGACATCAGCCAATTGGTCATTGACCGGAGGTCAAAAGGTGCAGTGCATTTTCGTACCTGGGATTTTGGTGGCCAGGTGAGTTTCTACGCTGAAGTGTATTACTACCAGAAGAGTCATGCTTAGATACGAAGTGTATTACTACCAGAAGAGTCATGCTAAGATACGAAGTGTATTACTACCAGAAGAGTCATGCTAAGATACAAAGTGTATTACTACCAGAAGAGTCATGCCAAGATACAAAGTGTATTACTACCAGAAGAGTCATGCTTAGATACGAAGTGTATTACTACCAGAAGAGTCATGCTAAGATACAAAGTGTATTACTACCAGAAGAGTCATGCTAAGATACAAAGTGTATTACTACCAGAAGAGTCATGCTTAGATACGAAGTGTATTACTACCAGAAGAGTCATGCTAAGATACAAAGTGTATTACTACCAGAAGAGTCATGCTAAGATACAAAGTGTATTACTACCAGAAGAGTCATGCTTAGATACGAAGTGTATTACAACCAGAAGAGTCATGCTTAGATACGAAGTGTATTACTACCAGAAGAGTCATGCTTAGATACAAAGTTTATTACTACCAGAAGAGTCATGCTAAGATATGAAGTGTATTACTACCAGAAGAGTCATGCTTAGATACGAAGTGTATTACTACCAGAAGAGTCATGCTTAGATACAAAGTGTATTACTACCAGAAGAGTCATGCTAAGATATGAAGTGTATTACTACCAGAAGAGTCATGCTTAGATACAAAGTGTATTACTACCAGAAGAGTCATGCTAAGATACAAAGTGTATTACTACCAGAAGAGTCATGCTAAGATACGAAGTGTATTACTACCAGAAGAGTCATGCTAAGATACAAAGTGTATTACTACCAGAAGAGTCATGCTTAGATACGAAGTGTATTACTACCAGAAGAGTCATGCTAAGATACAAAGTGTATTACTACCAGAAGAGTCATGCTAAGATATGAAGTGTATTACTACCAGATGAGTCATGCTTAGATACGAAGTGTATTACTACCAGAAGAGTCATGCTTAGATACAAAGTGTATTACTACCAGAAGAGTCATGCTTAGATACAAAGTGTATTACTACCAGAAGAGTCATGCTAAGATACAAAGTGTATTACTACCAGAAGAGTCATGCTTAGATACGAAGTGTATTACTACCAGAAGAGTCATGCTAAGATATGACTACATGTGTCATGATTTTTGTCTCATGGATACTTTTAAGGTCTTTCACTCATGAATAGACTTCTTAATGGCTCCATTCACGGATTGTTAGTTTGGTACTACCCATGTTTGTGACAAGTTCTTGCATGTCATTGGTTGAAGGTGAAGGTCAATGCCATTAAACCAGAATTGCTTTCAACTTTGTTATTTAAGTAGCTAGAGTCTGAGGATGTTCTGTTTGTCCTGCCTTGGTCCTGTGTGTCCCCAAAGTGATGTTAGTAATCATGTTTCTAATGGGGAAGTTTTGGGGTATTCAGGAAAAGTGGGGATAGGCCTGCTTCTGTTTTTGCATGTAATGCAAACACTTTTCTAGTTTGTTGAAGATTTGATTGCTTAGCAACAACTTAAAAGGACCAGATCTCTACTGTCTAACATGAACATGGAGACTTCTTTATATCCTTAGCTTTTATTGTTTACTAGACCTGAAATATCTCATTTCGTTCCTGACTCTGTTTTCTTCCCTGGGTAGCGCGAGTACTACGCCACCCACCAGTACTTCCTGTCCCCGAGATCTCTGTACCTCGTCCTGTGGAACCTCACACACGGACCTAAAGGTGTGGAGAGTTTGCTACAGTGGCTCGTTAATATCCAGGTGAGTCTTATATGTAAACCCAAGGCAGCCTCTGGGTGAGTCTTATATGTAAACCCAAGGCAGCCTTAATGTAAGTCTAATATGTAAACCCAAGGCACCCTCGAGGTGAGTCTTATATGTAAACCCAAGGCAGCCTCAATGTGAGTCATATGTAAACCCAAGGCACCCTTGGGGTGAGTCTTATATGTAAACCCAAGGCAGCCTCAAGGTGAGTCATATGTAAACCCAAGGCAGCCTCAAGGTGAGTCTTATATGTAAACCCAAGGCAGCCTCAAGGTGAGTCATATGTAAACCCAAGGCACCCTCGAGGTGAGTCGTATATGTAAACCCAAGGCAGCCTCAAGGTGAGTCATATGTAAACCCAAGGCAGCCTCAATGTGAGTCTTATATGTAAACCCAAGGCAGCCTCAATGTGAGTCATATGTAAACCCAAGGCAGCCTCAAGGTGGGTCTTATATGTAAACCCAAGGCAGCCTCAATGTGAGTCTTATATGTAAACCCAAGGCAGCCTCTGGGTGAGTCTTATATGTAAACCCAAGGCAGCCTCTGGGTGAGTCTTATATGTAAACCCAAGGCAGCCTCAATGTGAGTCATATGTAAACCAAAGGCAGCCTTAATGTGAGTCTTATATGTAAACCCAAGGCAGCCTCTGGGTGAGTCTTATATGTAAACCCAAGGCAGCCTCGAGGTGAGTCTTATATGTAAACCTAAAGCAGCCTCTGGGTGAGTCTTATATGTAAACCCAAGGCAGCCTCAATGTGAGTCATATGTAAACCAAAGGCAGCCTCAAGGTGGGTCTTATATGTAAACCCAAGGCAGCCTCAATGTGAGTCTTATATGTAAACCCAAGGCAGCCTCTGGGTGAGTCTTATATGTAAACCCAAGGCAGCCTCTGGGTGAGTCGTATATGTAAACCCAAGGCAGCTTTAATGTGAGTCTTATATGTAAACCCAAGGCAGCCTCAATGTGAGTCATATGTAAACTCAAGGCAGCCTCGGGGTGAGTCTTATATGTAAACCCAAGGCAGCCTCAATGTGAGTCTTATATGTAAACCCAAGGCAGCCTCAATGTGAGTCTTATATGTAAACCCAAGGCAGCCTCAATGTGAGTCTTATATGTAAACCCAAGGCAGCCTCAATGTGAGTCATATATGTAAACCCAAGGCAGCCTCAATGTGAGTCATATGTAAACCAAAGGCAGCCTCAAGGTGAGTCTTATATGTAAACCCAAGGCAGCCTCAATGTGAGTCTTATATGTAAACCCAAGGCAGCCTCTGGGTGAGTCTTATATGTAAACCCAAGGCAGCCTCAATGTGAGTCATATGTAAACCAAAGGCAGCCTCAATGTGAGTCTTATATGTAAACCCAAGTCAGCCTCAATGTGAGTCTTATATGTAAACCCAAGGCAGCCTCAATGTGAGTCATATGTAAACTCAAGGCAGCCTCGGGGTGAGTCTTATATGTAAACCCAAGGCAGCCTCAATGTGAGTCATATGTAAACTCAAGGCAGCCTCAATGTGAGTCTTATATGTAAACCCAAGGCAGCCTCAATGTGAGTCATATGTAAACCCAAGGCAGCCTCAATGTGAGTCTTATATGTAAACCCAAGGCAGCCTCGAGGTGAGTCGTATATGTAAACCCAAGGCAGGCTTCAATGTGAGTCATATGTAAACCCAAAGCAGCCTTAATGTGAGTCTTATATGTAAACCCAAGGCAGCCTCAATGTGAGTCATATGTAAACCAAAGGCAGCCTCAATGTGAGTCTTATATGTAAACCCAAGTCAGCCTCAATGTGAGTCTTATATGTAAACCCAAGGCAGCCTCAATGTGAGTCATATGTAAACTCAAGGCAGCCTCGGGGTGAGTCTTATATGTAAACCAAAGGCAGCCTCAATGTGAGTCATATGTAAACTCAAGGCAGCCTCAATGTGAGTCTTATATGTAAACCCAAGGCAGCCTCAATGTGAGTCATATGTAAACCCAAGGCAGCCTCAATGTGAGTCTTATATGTAAACCCAAGGCAGCCTCGAGGTGAGTCGTATATGTAATCCCAAGGCAGGCTTCAATGTGAGTCATATGTAAACCCAAAGCAGCCTTAATGTGAGTCTTATATGTAAACCCAAGGCAGCCTCAATGTGAGTCTTATATGTAAACTCAAGGCAGCCTCAGTGTAAGTCTTATATGTAAACTCAAGGCAGCCTCGGGGTGAGTCTTATATGTAAACCCAAGGCAGCCTCAAGGTGGGTCTTATATGTAAACCCAAGGCAGCCTCGAGGTGAGTCTTATATGTAAACCAAAGGCAGCCTCAAGGTGGGTCTTATATGTAAACCCAAGGCAGCCTCAAGGTGAGTCTTATATGTAAACCCAAGGCAGCCTCAATGTGAGTCATATGTAAACCAAAGGCAGCCTCAAGGTGAGTCTTATATGTAAACCCAAGGCAGTCTCAATGTGAGTCTTATATGTAAACCCAAGGCAGCCTCAAGGTGAGTCTTATATGTAAACCCAAGGCAGCCTCAAGGTGAGTCTTATATGTAAACCCAAGGCAGCCTCAAGGTGAGTCTTATATGTAAACCAAAGGCAGCCTCAAGGTGAGTCTTATATGTAAACCCAAGGCAGCCTCAATGTGAGTCTTATATGTAAACCCAAGGCAGCCTCAATGTGAGTCTTATATGTAAACCCAAGGCAGCCTCGAGGTGAGTCGTATATGTAAACCCAAGGCAGGCTTCAATGTGAGTCATATGTAAACCCAAAGCAGCCTTAATGTGAGTCTTATATGTAAACCCAAGGCAGCCTCAATGTGAGTCATATGTAAACCCAAGGCAGCCTCAATGTGAGTCATATGTAAACCCAAGGCAGCCTCAATGTGAGTCTTATATGTAAACCCAAGGCAGGCTTCAATGTGAGTCATATGTAAACTCAAGGCAGCCTCAATGTGAGTCTTATATGTAAACCCAAGGCAGCCTCGAGGTGAGTCTTATATGTAAACCCAAGGCAGCCTCAAGGTGAGTCTTATATGTAAACCCAAGGCAGCCTCATTGTGAGTCTTATATGTAAACCCAAGGCAGCCTCAATGTGAGTCTTATATGTAAACCCAAGGCAGCCTCAATGTGAGTCATATGTAAACCCAAGGCAGCCTCATTGTGAGTCTTATATGTAACCAAAGGCAGCCTCAATGTGAGTCATATGTAAGCCCAAGGCAGCCAAGTGGGAATATAAGCGTATGTGACACATTATCAATTTTGATGATTCTACTTATTCTCTGAGTAAAATATGTGTGCATATGTAAAAGTGAACAGATGATCAGACGATAGTTTTTCTTGTGCTTGATTGTTTGTGCAGCCATGGGGTATTGTGATCAGGTCTAACGTGAAACAAATCAACATGTCCGCTCTCAGTCGGTATTACTGTTATCCCACATTGTTTAACTGTGTGGACCAAGTGCCCTCATTAAAGCAGATGAACACGGCATGACTTGCATTACCTTGTCTAAGGTGCCTCATTTCCCTCTGCAGAATTCTGTCCCTTAGATGTGCCAGGATTCTATGATCGTAGGTTTGAGTCTCAGCGAAGAGTCACTTATGATTATTGGTGTGTCACAATACGGACTGATGATACTACTGGTATCTCTATACACCACATCAAATAGGAAGAAAGCACTGAAATACAGCTCCAAAATCTATTCTTCACACATGTATTTATTGTTCTCTGAAAAACTTTAACTAAGAAAACTACAAGAACAAAACAGTTTTAAATGAAGGGATGGCTGTTAAATGTAACAGTTAGTCAGCGTGTCCTGAGGTACTACGTCTTTGTGATTTGTTCACTCCCTGATCCTCAGGCACGTGCCCCTGGAGCCCCGGTGATCATCATTGGCACCCACCTGGACAAGTTAGAGGACCGTGCCACCAGGCGGAGCTACCCGGAGGACTTCGAGGAAGCCATGATGGGGCTGGTGCACAAGAACTTCATCCTTGTCAAGGAGCCAGAGAAGTGCGGGCTTCCCAACATCCTAGACGCCATCAATGTCAGCTGCAAGTCGGGCAAGCATGTGTCCAAGCTTGTGGACATGATCTACGACCATGCCTTCGACCTCAAACATCCCCGTACGTTGTGCATGTTGTGATCTCAGTTTCACGCTCCTAGATGTTGTGTTGTTGTGATTTGTACGTCTAGTGGGGCAGTGTCATAGATTGTGAGTTCGCTCTGTGGGGCAGTGTCATAGATTGTGAGTTCGCTCTGTGGGGCAGTGTCATAGATTGTGAGTTCGCTCTGTGGGGCAGTGTCATAGATTGTGAGTTCGCTCTGTGGGGCAGTGTCATAGATTGTGAGTTCGCTCTGTGGGGCAGTGTCATAGATTGTGAGTTCGCTCTGTGGGGCAGTGTCATAGATTGTGAGTTCGCTCTGTGCGGCAGTGTCATAGATTGTGAGTTCGCTCTTTGGGGATTTACATTTATACATTCAGAAATTTAAAATGAAGAGTATCCAAATGACAACACTGTGACTGACTCATTTACTGATAATTTTTAGGACAAATATACATGATTACAGAAAGTAAATTGCCAAATCACAAAATACACCGCTCCTTTTAAAAAAAGCAGTGCCCACACTTGCCCTACTCTTCCTCTTCTCGTGGCAGTGCACTTAAAGACATGGAATCTGTGCCAATTTATCTGCTTCATGTATAAGTACTTTCATCCAGGGATGCCATGTGGACCCTGTAGAGTGAATTAAAGATCCTTATCAAACCTCCATGTCAGAATGATGAGATCTGATTGGTCCACATGATCTTGATGAAATACTGTGTACCTTGGAGGGTAATATATTTCTCAGCAGGGGAATATATCTCTTATACCCCACCACGAGCAATGCAGGCTGCACATGGATTTCTGAGAGCAGAATAAATCCCATATACCCCGCTTCAAAGCAAAAGGGCTGCACGCTTTTCCTAAGTCAATGGAAGTCACGTGACTTAGCCTAAACTAAGCTCAGCTCAATCAAACAGCTGTTTTCTATCAATTTTGAATTTGAGTTAATTCTCGTAAAATATCACATTAAAACATGTCAGTAAGATGAATTTGTTGTAGCAGGATCACTAGGGGAATATTGGGTTTTATGCGTCCCTCTTTAGGTTTAATACTTCTCACGTCCTAACGCAAGACGCATAAAACCCCTAGTACCCCTCATTATTATCAAAATTATAATATTCAATTCTACTGGGTAGCAATGGGTTGCATGATTAGAAAACACATTCCGACTGTCACTTTCATGATCTGGTAAGCGACGCTCTGATTGGTTGGATGAAAGGTCGTTCTGACGTGACCCTTAATTGGATGTACTAAGATCTTTGTTTAGCGATCAGATTTTAATGAGATTGACTGGGTACAAATTATCAAACCAAGTTTACCCCAAAGTGATATAGCTTGAATATCAGAACTATCATCACACATTAAGTTTGTAAATGACGTTGAATGAGACAGTGAACCATGCTGGTTGTCACTGACATCAAACTCATGGTGTGTCTGGTGACCATGGTGTGTCTGGTGACCATGATGTGTCTTGTGACCATGGTGTGTCTCGTGACCATGGTGTGTCTTGTGACCATGATGTGTCTTGTGACCATGGTGTGTCTCGTGACCATGGTGTGTCTCGTGACCATGATGTGTCTCGTGACCATGATGTGTCTCGTGACCATGGTGTGTCTCGTGACCATGGTGTGTCTCGTGACCATGATGTGTCTCGTGACCATGGTGTGTCTCTAACCATGATGTGTCTTGTGACCATGGTGTGTCTCGTGACCATGGTGCATCTTGTGACCATGGTGCGTCTGGTGACCATGGTGTGTTTGTGACCATGGTGCATCTCGTGACCATGGTGCGTCTGGTGACCATGGTGTGTCTCGTGACCATGGTGTGTCTCGTGATCGTGGTTTGTCTCGTGGCAGGTTCTCGCACCCAGAAGCTGCTGAAGCAGAAGATCCCCAAGAAGTACCTGCTGCTGCAGAACGTGGTGATGGAGCTGGCACAGGAGCGTGTCCATGACAACAAGGAGCCCGTCCTGTCCAAGTCCAAGTACATGTGAGTCTGCCAGAGCAGCATCTAACAGTAGCAGTAAACAAATCTTAGTGTTTTTTCAGAAATAGCTAATTGAGGCCATAAAGATTGACAAATTCAACAATTGTTAGAGAAAGCAATTTATTTATTGCACACAGTAGTTTGATGTGTTCCTCTCAACCGTGTAAGTGCCGGTGAAAGGTGCAGCACTATTAAAACTAAAGCAGAACTGTGCATGGACTTGCATGATTGGTCAATCGGAAGTTTCAAGTCACAATAACATGATGGATGTTTGGTTTCAAATTTAATTTGGTGCTATCCTAGCTACTAGTTATATACAGTCAAGTCTTGTTAATCCGACAGTCAGCTTTATCCAACACTAATGATGGAAACCAATTATATCAGTGCTATTTAGACCTGTTAATCCGACAGTCTTGCACTCCGACACACCTAAATTTGCAACGAATTACCGAAATCACTCATTTATCAGTTTTGTTAATCCATCACAGTGATCAGCATACTCCATGGTTATACAGCCCATAACAGTAGTTTTGTGTTAAGCTTTAGAGTTGCATGCTTAGAAAATATATTTCGCTAACAATGTAACATAACAATATAAATATTTAATTTTTCATTTTTTTATTACATGTTAGTATTGTTATCTATCGTGTAATTATCCATTTTCGATCACGACCGTTAATACTACTTAATTTTGTGTATCCGACATAATTATATGCAACCAACCTTGTCGGATTAACGGGACTTGACTGTAGGTCTGCAGTGAGAACAGTGTATGTTTATCTGTAGGTCTGCAGTGAGAACAGTGTATGTTTATCTGCAGGTCTGCAGTATGTTTATCTGAATGTTTCATGGTTGGTCTTTACTGAACTTTGTTTGCAGGCTGTGTGTGTCCAACAAGATGATGGAGACTGGCACGACCTTCAGGGATGTGGAGGAGCTGGAACAGGCAACCAGATTCCTGCATGAGAACGGTGAACCAGTTTAATGGTTGTCATGTTAAACACAGAGTCTCCCATAAATTTGGAAATAACTGTGTTCTGATTGGCCAATCAGAGGTATCAAATATGTGAAATAAGATATTTGAGAATGGTTCATGTTATGGGGGATGATTTTGATGCATTTTTCTGTGAAAATTATTAGTGAGTAGATGAGTGAGTGAGTGAGTTGAGGCAGTGTTTCAGTTGTGTCATAGGGTGTGAGTCGATGTGTGAAGAATGCCCCTGGTGATGCAGGTCTTTGACATCTAAGACAACAGGTTCAGTGCTGACAAACCTAGAAACGTGAGCAAGACAAACATGGGATTCAAACCCTTGAACATGTTTCTGGCACACCTAAAAGATGCAACTGTGCACAGCGGATTGTGGAGTCTTGGGTGACCCGCCACCAGAGCCTCTGTACAGCTATAGGTAACCCAGGGTAGCCATTTCACAAAAGCCTCCTAGGACTATGACCTAATAAACCACATCATAAACCACATCATAACTTTTAAATCCGTTGCTATGTAAAATATGTCTTACGGTCTTGCGACATCCTAGTGTCACATTAAAAGGGTTTCTTGGAATGGTCGTAAGAAGAATCTTCAAAGGTTTGTAAACTGTGTCGTAGTTCCCTCCCTTGGGTTGTAAGCCATTACAGCATAGCACTAAGGGGCTTGCATGAAACAGCGCCCTCAATCTAATTCCTTAGGGTTGTAAGGCATTACAGCATAGCACGAAGAGGCTTGCATGAAACAGCGCCCTGAATCTAATTCCTTAGGGTTGTAAGGCATTACAGCATAGCACGAAGGGGCTTGCATGAAACAGCGCCCTCAATCTAATTCCTTAGGGTTGTAAGGCATTACAGCATAGCAAGAAGAGGCTTGCATGAAATAGCGCCCTGAATCTAATTCCTGTTCTGTCTTGACTCCGTGTTCCAGGCGTTCTGTTCCACTACGAGGACCTCTCTCTGAAGGATCTCTACTTCCTTGATCCTCAATGGCTCTGTGACCAGCTGGCAAAGGTTGTCACCATCAAGGAGATTAACCGATTTGCATCCAGAGGTGAGACCCATTGTTTGTAGATGTGTACCACTTCCATGAAAACAGTTAGGCTTAAAAAAAATAAAAGAATTGGTTCTCAGGCAATGACTTTTGAAAATATGGTGGGGGCGGGTGGGCAGTGTTTTTTGTTTTTTTGCTTGTTCAAACTAGTATGTAACCAAATAAACAGTTGTCTACAATCATCCTGGGAAAGGGCCTCCCTACATGAACAAGCATACAAGCTGCTACTGCCACCATGACCGTAACACTAGATGTGCCGTAAAGCAGTGCGCATGTAAAGGGAAGTAACTGTGTGCTTATTGGATCGCATTGTTTTTAAGTATCAGGATTTTTATATTTTTCTTGAAAATAGGCATCATGAAGATCAAGAATCTAGAGCTGTTGTTCAAGAACTCCCTACAGCCAATGGACATCCAGAGAGACATCACAAGCTTGCTGAACAAGTTTGAAGTGGCTCTCCAGTTCGATGATGAGACCCTTCTGTTGCCGTCCCTGCTGCCGACAGAAGAAGACCTGCAAGTCAGTGTGGAGAAGAAGTGTGACGTCCGGGTAGGTTCATGGGGGAGATGCCAGATGAGAGAGTGTTCCAGACATGTTGTTGGCTTGTCCTTACAGCTCCTCATAACAGAACTGTCCCATCTTCGCGAAGCAAGGGAGTTAACTGACTTTAAAAGTTCATTTTCCACCCTTGCCGAACTAGGCTGTAATTCATGGGCTCGATCGTAGCGCCACCAGTGGTTATTACGAGTCATGTCCTTCTGAGCCTCGCCTATGGACCAATCAGATTCCACCTCTCGTATCACTTGCATTTGAATCAAACAAAATGGCGGTGCCCTGTCAAGACGATCTGATCGATAATCAAGTTATATAGGCTTTTTTCACACTTTCGCCATCTTGGATCGAAAACGAGGCTTGGAGAGCATAGCTCCATGCAGTGTGAGTCGCATCAGCTGATAGGGAACAGACAGCATGTTGTGCATTACACTGATGGACATTTCAAACAAACAAAAATGGTATCCTCTGTATCTAATACAGAAGATATTTCACATTTAATCATGAGGTCCAACTAAAATATGCATTTTGCTGTCAGGATCCCGGAAGTGAATCGGAAGGTGCATTTCGAGATACGTATTTCAGAAATAGATTGTTTTATCATAACCTCGTCGGCATATAGGTACAATGTGACAGTACATTCAATGACAGAAGTTTTGTATCGTAAATGAACCGCATAACATGAAACACGTCAGTGCGAGGCTTTGCGAACTCGAGATCGAGATCATGTTTATTTCACATTTCATAGTGGTGTTTGCTGCACAACGCACTATCGTTTTGCAATGAGTCCAGGTGACAAAAGACTCCTTTTCTGCTATGATTTTCATTTTAATAATTACGATGTAAATGAAATTAGTTCACAAAATAATTCGTGTGTCAAAATAAATATTCAGAAGGGGTGATAACTCTATTCAGTGTGTACAGTGACAGATGATACTTTACTTGTTCTTCAAACATCACTTACTTAACTGATTATTGCCAATTGAGATTGCACTGTGCACGACAAAAGTAATAAAATGTGAACTGTTTAAAATAAGTTAAAAGGAAACTAAAATTGATAAATATAAATGATGCATGAAACTGAAGAAATATAAGAATTGATACAACCACCAACTTCTTGAACACCCTCACCTAATCCTGTATGATGTTAGGTAATTGTATATCAAAAGGAAGCTACTAATACATTTATCCTGAATAAATATTGGGTTGGAAAATGTCTTGATGAGATATGAGTACAGATAAAATAACAAAAGATAAAAAGGAATCAACTTGAATTGGTAATCAAGCCAAGATAAAATATATGTATCAGTACAAATTATGTTGATGGAACATCTGGATTTCTCATATTTAACAAAGAAAAACAAACCGAAATGTCCATGTCTTTATTTCTCACAATATAAGTTTTCAAAACTTAACATGGACCGGGTGTCTTTGTCAGTCAAAAGCACCTAATTAAATTCCAGGAGAAAATAATTTTCTTGCTTGTAAACAAATGGTACAATGTGCTTTTTTAGTGTCTGATAAATATTGGACATGTTGTTTTGTGAGTGAATAAGACTTTTCACTTCCTCGTCCTATTTAAGTGAAATGTGACAGGAACCACATTTGTTGATTGAATGAATATGGCTTTCCACTTCCACGTCCTTTAACAGGACGCACATTGTAACCATTGTGTTACTGTCAGCAGAAAGCTCCTCCAGACATCCGTCACCGGATACTAGTACTTCATTGTGTTGACTCGCTGGCCTGAAATGAATAATTCAATAATATTGTACGGGTAATAATATTTCTACTTCAATAACATTTTTTATAAACAATTCATATTCTCAAAATATTGCTTATTTAGAAAACAACATTCTTCTGAAATAGAGAAGTTTAAGGAAAATTAATCACAGTGTGTAACATTACATGCTCCTTTAGAACAATCTTGAAGGCATCAATTCATCTGATATGTCAAAAACTCAAACAGTATATTCTGTGTAAACAGTAAACAATTTAATGACAGTGTACTACAGCTCTTTATATCAATGTCACACATAAATTCACTCTTGTTTGAATGAAACACGTTTTGATATTTGTATTACCGGTATGTATTTAATCATGAAATACTTTGTTTAGTCTGACCATGCTGAAAACATACTTTCGCTAGAGTGAAATAAATAAGATTTTTATTAAAATCAGGTGAAATATCACGTTTTGTCACACCTACAGTCAGTCTGCCTCATTGACACTATGGTTTTCTGAGTAAGGTCATGAAGATCACAAAGAAAATATAAGACTTGAATTTATTTTGTCAAATTAAATGTTTATCTCTTCTTGTGGTTTACTAAAGTTGATATCTTAACTTCAAAATATTAACTTTGTCAGATCACAAGATGAGATATTATTAAACATATTTTATTGTCCAAAAAGGCAAAGGGATTGGGCACAAGTGCAGCACTTATTACCGCCTTCTCCCTATATACAGTTATACATAATATTGCATAATGAAAATGAACAATTTACAGTTGAAGCTTCACATTGTGGAAACACAGTGCTCAATTGAAGGATTTGTACAATGTGCTGGAAAGTGAAGACAGTGTGCATCTCATACATATCCTAATATTATGCATTTTAGTGTTGAATATAGATTTAACAATATTAATGATTAACAGTTTGGAAACAATAATATGCTAGCTTACTGAATCTGTTAGTCGATTCTATAAATTTGTGTACAGACAAAAATATTTTTGTATTCAGGAAAACATCTAAGTTTGGATCACCAAAAAGAATACTATGTAGAGTTTTTTGTCCTCCAAGATTATCGATAGCTTTCAGTAATGTCTCCCTAAAATCATCATATAAGGTACATTCGAAGAAGAAATGGAATGAATTTTCAGAAGGAGCATGCTATACAAGGAGCATGAGATATAATTCATGCTATCATCGTTATTTGACAAGGAAAACAAATTTCTTCTATGTATTTACATTTTTTTATATTTCTTGTTTTGATTGAATTATAAAAATTATCAAAATTATCACACAACTTGACTTGATTGAAATAAACTACATTTCTAAAGATTGTTAACAGCAGTAAAATATTACATCATAACAAAATAATTATTGCAAAATGACACAGTAAGCACAACTATATTCTTACATATAAATTGATATGATTAATAATCAATAATTCATGGCAATTGCTTGCACAAAAAAAATCTTTTTGTTTTAAAAGTTTCAAAACATGTTTGTAGACATAAAACCAGATTGGTTTCACAATTAAACAAAGGGAATAAATGAGTTATGATTGCAATACGCATGGGAATTAAAAATGATTCTGTTTATACTTTAAGTTTATAGTAATGTCAATATCAATTTATGCATTTAAAATATTTGAATACAAACTGTTAAAGAGTTATCTGTTTCTGTAAATTAAATAAAGATCACATGTAGATTGAACATTTACTGGCCATTAATTAGTTGGGTTTTTGTTCATTTCATGACATGATTAATTTGGTACAGTAATGTAAATATCATTTTGGTAGAAATATTGTTACCAAAATTGCAGATCAAACTGTACTTTACTTCAAATATTTACACACCCTTTATGTAATAATTCAGTTGAAATATTACACCTCATGCTATCTAATCTGTCAACATTGACAATCAAAATAACAACTGTCCACAATCACAACAGCACAAGTAGATCTAGAGGTCTAATATTTTATTGGAATGCATTTGTGTCCATTACAATTTACATCAAATACGCAACTGATGCAAAATTCTGATTTGTTACGATTGTAAATTCTCAGTGGGTTACAATTTGATACATCTAGATATCAACATATCAATTTAGTTAGTTTCTGACATATAGGCCTATCTAGATATGGTCAAAAGGTCAATATTTCGACTTCAAATACAACCCGCAAAGTTATTTAAACTCACAATAAATAGTTTGGCTTAATGGTGTGTAAACAATGAATTCTTTTTTACAAGAGCATTTGTAATAAGTCTGTTCAGCTACCATAAACTGCACTGGGAGTTACCAGGTGGTCATGGATATTTTAAATTGAAATCACAACAGAACGGCCAGACTCAACTTTAAGGAGACCAGATAACAGTAGAATAGTTTGTCAATGATAAGAATAAGAATAATGTTCAATACTTACGATAAATGTACCGGGATGGTTAAATTGTCACAGTTTGTCCCGATCGCGTGCCTTGTTGACATTTCCATGTGTTTCATGTGCTATCCAGCCTTCACCTTCTGCTCTCCAAGCCTCTCTTTCAAACCAGAAGTAGCGAAGTGTGAAAAAGGTCAATTGCGTGATAAAACGGGTCTTACATCACGAAGTGCATCAAATTGCGTGAGAAACCTTGATTAAAAACATGAAAAGATTTGGAAAATATTTGTTGAAAACGAGTTGGCGGTGTACATGCTTTGCAAATCCTGCAATCAACCGAAATCTACACGACAGTTTACTGACCGGATTTCGATTTCGTTGCACGATTTTGATTGGACTATGCATAGACTCTTTAGTCCAGCCAAAATGTAACTCCATAACACCAGCCTAGTTCGGCAAGGGTGGAAACTGGACTTTTATAGTCAGTTAAATCTCTTGCCTCGGGAAGATGGAACTGTCCATGCTTGCATATGGAAGTGATGGTTATGATTAGGGGTGTGTGCGTTTGGTATACCAGTCGTATTATGGTGTGTTAGCTTAATGTGGGTGGAATGCCAGAAGTGATGCAGGTCTCAGACATTTACCACTTCGGTGATATTCACGTGCATGGGTATGGTGCTGACAAACCTAAGAGAATTGGGGCAAACCAGGTTTGGAACTAGGTTCCAGGCGGCCCAAGGGACGCAACTCTGTCCAGAGACTTGCAGTGCCTAAGTTGACTGGGCCACCCGTGCCACCATCAGGGTGAGGACATGACAAGGTACATGTGAATAGGTGGTGAATTATCACCCTGACATTCTTACCTTACCATCTGTAAAGATTAAAGTAAAATTATGTGTCTGAATTTCAGATTCCTCTGAGGAGACCTCAGGATGAAAACACTCAGGTCAAGAGAAGGTCAAGGCCCCTCACAACTGACGTGGTGTATGTGAGACCAGATAGTGTGAAGACACTCACTGTGGGAAAATCTACCTTTTATTCTGGTCCCCAGCAGTTTGACGAGTCGTCGAGTCGCCCTGACTCACGTGATCTTTTGCTCCTTGGAGTCAAGGCCACAAGTAACCCCATCTTTTCCTTCTGTCGTCTTTATTTCATGACCTACTTCCCGAGCGGGTTCTGGCCGAGACTCATCACACGGGTACTCGCGGACTCCTCGTTGTACCACTTTGCCATGAGTCTGTTCAAGCTCCCGGAGGAGTTGATGCAGCGCAGCCCAGGAATGAAGACCCTGTTCGACACAGAGCCAGAGTGGCGATGTTGGCAGACAGGTCTAATCCTCAACCACCTGGGATTTGAGATGCTCCGGATCCGTGAGGTCCTCTCTGACTCCACAATGGGCTTCTGTGACTATATGCAATGTAGGCTCAAGTGCAATGTGGAGTCAGAGTGGGCCTTTCTTGATGTGATGAACAGCAAGATTCTGGAGATTTCCTTACCAACAGACAGCCTTACCTTCCATCTCACTAACAAGGCCGGGCCCCAGATACAGACTCTTGACCCCACGAACAGGACCACTCTATTCAGGGATGACTCTGCAGCAGCCAAGCTCCTGGGCAAGCTCATTGAGCACATTGACAACCTCCTCCAGGACTGGTACCCCGAGATCGGTGAGGTGAGGTTCACCCAGAACTGTGAGGGGCGGTACCTCATCACTCGGATAGTGCTCTGTCCCCAGTGCCTCTACTCAGAAGTTCAAAGGCAGCGTAAAATGCATTCTGAGCTGGACAGTGATGCATGGTTCTGGATGAACCCTGAGGTGCCAAACCAGTGTTCGTCCATTTTCATCAGCCAGGGGGAGCCATCGGTGGCGGAAGAGGACGCAGAGAATGAGGATGAGGACGGGGAGGAGTCGGCGTCACATGGTGGTGGACAAGCAGAAGACAGGTCAAGGTCAGAAGATTTTTTCTTTTGAATATGAAGCAAATTATCACTCAAATTTACAATAATTACAATAATTAATTTTAGAATGCATTATTTCAGATGGATGAGGTTCCAGGAATGTGTTTTTTTGATAAACCTTGTTAACTTAAGGTCTTGGAGGCCATGGCAGATATAAATGTCAAGCTATCAAGTGTAGTGTCATTAAGGATTGACCAAGTTTCATCAGCTTAAACAATTCTTATTGTAAAATAGTCACCATGTTGTAATGAACGGCAATACGCTCATCTCAAAGTTTTCTTTTGATCGCTTTATGAAATAATTCCCCAAACAATGTCTTCATCTTTTGAATGTAGACTTCAAACAGGACAGGCAATCATATTTGACCGAGCACAACGGCGCCAGGAGACGGAAGCCATTATCTACAGCCACCTGGTGGAGCGTTGCATGCTGGACATGATGGAGGGTGTGAACATCTGCTGCCCCGTCCACGCCAGCGTGTCCCCCGCCCACCTACTCGGCGACCAAGGACAGAGCTACACCTTCTTCGTCGCACCGGACTTGGTGAGGAGACATGATTATACTACATGTTCTTCTTATCACAACTGTGGCCCTTAGTTCCCTTACCTCGCAGACTCAGAATACCCCTACACGTCATCTCTCCCTTTAGATCCATTCACCAGGAACCAGTTCTACAAAGCGATCTCAGTGCTATGACCGTCATCAGCCAATGTTAAAGTATGGGAGGAGCGATCACCTTAGCATTACCATCACTTTGTGGAAGGGGGCCCAGGGTATAGTAGCACAATGATCATTCACGTGGTGAATGGAATCAGGTGCATTATAAATGGATAGTTGTCATTATTATTATGATGATGATGATGATGATTATTATTATTATTATTATTATTATGATGATGATGATGATGATGATGATGATGATGATGGTGGCAAACCAAACAGCATCCATTTGTAGAATAAGACCCATCCATATTGTCATGAGGTTTGAGGAGATTCTGCTGTCAGTGTGGCTGATTGATGGAGGTTTCATAGGGATAGACTTCAGGTTAAATTCAAGTTTCAGCAAATAATAGTTTTGATGTGACAATTTAATCTTAACGCTTGTCATCAGGATAATATCTGCAATGTGTCTGTCAGGCTTTCCGCGATGTAGACAGGGAACTCCTGATCACAGAGACGGATAGACTGGACATCGGACGGGAACTTGGCAAAGGCACCTTTGGGAAGGTATTTGCTGGGAACCTGTTCAGGAAGGTTTGTACACTGGCATATACAGGGTGTTTTTGTTGTAAAGTGGCATTTACAGGGTGTTTTGTCGTACTCGTGCATTTACGGGGTGTTTTTGTCGTACTCGGGCATTTACGTTTTATTTTATTGTAAAGTGGCATTTACTGGGTGGTTTTGTTGTAAAGTGGCAAATACGGGGTGTTTTGTTGTAAAGTGGCATATACGGGGTGTTTTGTTGTAAAGTGACATTTTCTTGGTGGTTTTGTTGTTAGTTGGTCTAGGCATATAAAATACTTTTCAATTCTATGGTATCTTTTTAATTTCATGCCTACTTTATTGGGTTGCTGTGATAGGAGGAGATTCGGTAATTTGACGTCATCATTTTTCAGATACAATTAATGTCAGAGAGGACTTGATGATAGTCAATGCATTATATATTTTGTAATCTCTAACAACAACAACAACTAATAATACGAGAAGGTCATGTGACAAACCGTTGTACCTGTGTTGTGTCCAGGGAGAGGAGCCCGTCATACCAGTGGCAGTGAAGGTTCTGTTCAGTGGGACTCGAGAGGAAGCCAAACAGAAGCGGCAGGTACCGAGTCTCATCTTCACTTCTTTTCCGGTTTTTTTTTTGTGTTCACGTGCAACTCAAACTACTGTATACATCAGGGACGGTGGGGAAGTGGTAAAAGCGTTTGCTTGTCTTGCCGATGGCCCGGGTTCGATTCCCAATATGGGTACAATGTGTGAAGCCCATTTCTGGTGTCCCCCGCCGTGATATTGCTGGAATACTGCTAAAAGCGGCATAAAACACAACTCACTCACTCACTCACTGTGTACATCAGGAGTTCTTTGACACCATAGTTTAAGACAGGCTATAGCTTAATCGCCATAATGTGTAAAAAGTGAAAAAAAAGTGTTATTTTATGACAGCGTTATTGCTTACGGCAAACTTTATTCACAGGTGGCACTGCAATGTTCGTTAAACTATGACGTCAGGGCATTGTAACCACATTGTATGATGTAATAGCACTGTGTGTTGTTATCAACGAAATGTCGCCACCCATTACAAATTGAGGGAAGGGCCCATTTTTATAGATTTTCTCGAATGTGCAGACAAACATAGGGAAACTATGATGTAGTCTTTGTCAAGATGTTAAAATATTTACTATTATGCAAAACTGTCAACATGGTGAGGGTTGGCCCTACATACCTCTAGAGAAAGTGTGAATTTGGCAGTATAGACTTCAAGTGGAAGCAACAGAAATTGGCTGCAGGCATTGCTTGGAATCACACCCTTGTCCGTGGCAGGTCAAATGAATGCAGTAGTAGCATCAGGAATTGTTTGATAAGCATTACTTAGAAGCTGACGGGTGACAAAGTAGGCACAATTTATGGATAACAACTTCTTAAATTACTGTAAAGGCGACATTTCGGTATAGATCCTTATACCGTTGTCATGCAGGTTGTGTCTACTTGGTCAGTAGCATCATGACTCCTAACCGTCTGCTTCCACAGAGTATCGAGAGTCGGATGGACCGGGCCTGCCAGGCGTACCTCACGGCCAGACAGGAGATATCAATCCTTGAGAGTATCTCACACCCAAACATCGTCCCCATGCTGGGCCTAGCCACCCGGCCATTGTCCCTCATCCTTAGTCTGGCTCCCCATGGCTCCCTCGACTCGTCTCTCAAGATGCTGGACGAGACGGGACGCAGACTTCCCCTGTTTGTTATCAGGCAGATCATAGTGCAGGTCAGTCTACAAGTCGACAAATTACTCGGGACTAATGTCATTGTGTTACCACAGGTACAATATACTAGGGACTAATGTCATTGTTTCACCACAGGTACAATATACTAGGGACAATTGTCATTGTGTCACCGGGGGTACAATATGCTATGGACCAATGTCAGTGTGTCTCAGGGGTACAATATACTAGGGACTAATGTCAATGTGTCACCGGGGGTACAATATACTAGGGACTAATGTCAGTGTGTCACCGGGGGTACAATATACTAGGGACTAATGTCATTGTGTCTCAGGGTTACAATATACTAGGGACTAATGTCAATGTGTCACCGGGGGTACAATATACTATTATATGGACCAATATCAGTGTGTCTCAGGGGTACAATATACTAGGGACTAATGTCATTGTGTCACTGGGGGTACAATATACCAATCATGCTAATGTTAATGACACATTATGTCCAGGTGGCTCAAGCTCTGGCTTACCTCCATGACCGCAACATCATCTACCGTGACCTCAAGTCGGAGAACATTCTGGTGTGGTCACTGCCGCTGTCACCAGAGGCCAGCACTGCAGCACCCGTTGATGTGAAGTTGGCAGACTACGGGATCAGTCGCAGCGTCATGCCCACAGGTGCTAAAGGCTTTGGAGGAACACCACCCTTCATAGCGCCGGAAATACTGCAGCATGCTGGGAAGGATACCTACACAGAGAAGGTACAAGGTCCTGATTGGAGGAGTATTATCTCTGTATTTAAGTAACGGACATCTATGATCTGTTTGTTTGGTAGTTTGTTGTTTAACACCTCTCTGAGCAATATTCCATCTATATGGAAATAATAAAGTCTGGACCAGACAATCCAGTGATGGGTATTGTGAGCAATGATCCAGACCACCAGGGCACGACGACACACAATCAACCAAGTAACCGAGTCTGACCACATGATCCAGTTAGTCCCTTATGACCAGCTGCTGGGGACCAGTTTAACCCCGAATCTCCTCGAGTGACTGTCTGTGATGTCTCAAAGGGAACCTCATGTGTTAAGAAATGTATTTGCTGTGTGATCAGGAAGCACATGTCTCAAATAATCTGCAGAAAAAGTTACTACTTTGACCCCTGTGTAGGCAGGAGGCATAGGAGTGAGTGAGTGAGTATGGTTTATTGTCTGTTTTAGCAATATTCCAGCAATATAATGATTTGGGGACACCACAATTGGACTTCACACATTGTACCCATGTGTGAAATCAAACCTGTGTCTTCGGTGTCGCAAGCAAATGCTTTAACCACTGGGCTACCCCACTGTCCCCTTAGCCATAGGGGACAGCCAGGAACCCAAAAAATCTTTTGTTTTCACCTCTGTGTCACTCTCTTACATGTTATGGGGGTGGTCGGGTAGCCTAGTGGTTAAAGCGTTCGCTCGTCACATCGAAGACCCGGGTTCAATTCCTGACATGGGTACAATGTGTGAAGCCGATTTCTGTTTTTTTTAACCTCTGTGATATTGCTGGAATATTGCTAAAAGCGGCGTAACACCATACTCACTCACTCACTTCATGTTATGGACAGATATGCAGCTCTGCCTGGAGTAATTGCCTGGACCAATCCTTTTATCTATTTCTTTGTCTTACCTAAAATGCACTACATTGTCTCCACCAGACCTGAACCTGTGAGTTCTGTGTTGTAAATGTTTGGTGTAAATTGTATTCTATTGAAAATATCAGCTGTGGCTAATGCATTTTTTTAAGAAGATTCTCTTTCTTCCTGTAGGTGGACATTTTCTCGTTTGGGATGTGTATGTACGAGCTGATCACATGTCGCCAGCCGTTCTGCGACGTGAACAACCCAAGCACGCTGGTGTGTCAGGGTAGTCGGCCCACCATCACATCACAGGTACTCCTACAGCTAGTTGTGGAGAGTCTCCACGTACACCACATGGGCATGTAACACTCCTACAGCTAGTTGTGGAGCGGCTCCACGTACACCACATGGGCATGTAACACTCCTACAGCTAGTTGTGGAGAGTCTCCACGTACACCACATGGGCATGTAACACTCCTACAGCTAGTTGTGGAGCGGCTCCACGTACACCACATGGGCATGTAACACTCCTACAGCTAGTTGTGGAGCGGCTCCACGTACACCACATGGGCATGTAACACTCCTACAGCTAGTTGTGGAGCGGCTCCACGTACACCACATGGGCATGTAACACTCCTACAGCTAGTTGTGGAGCGGCTCCACGTACACCACATGGGCATGTAACACTCCTACAGCTAGTTGTGGAGAGTCTCCACGTACACCACATGGGCATGTAACACTCATACAGCTAGTTGTGGAGCGGCTCCACGTACACCACATGGGCATGTAACACTCCTACAGCTAGTTGTGGAGCGGCTCCACGTACACCACATGGGCATGTAACACTCCTACAGCTAGTTGTGGAGCGGCTCCACGTACACCACATGGGCATGTAACACTCCTACAGCTAGTTGTGGAGCGGCTCCACGTACACCACATGGGCATGTAACACTCCTACAGCTAGTTGTGGAGCGGCTCCACGTACACCACATGGGCATGTAACACTCCTACAGCTAGTTGTGGAGCGGCTCCACGTACACCACATGGGCATGTAACACTCCTACAGCTAGTTGTGGAGCGGCTCCACGTACACCACATGGGCATGTAACACTCCTACAGCTAGTTGTGGAGCGGCTCCACGTACACCACATGGGCATGTAACACTCCTACAGCTAGTTGTGGAGTGGCTCCACGTACACCACATGGGCATGTAACACTCCTACAGCTAGTTGTGGAGCGGCTCCACGTACACCACATGGGCATGTAACGTTAGTACCGTTTGTGTCTTTCCTGCTTAATGCAGCACTCAGCAATATTGCAGCTCTGTGACAGCCGACTCGAAATGATCGAGTCTGGAACAAACAATGCAGTAATTGACATCAAATCATGAGCATCGATCTACACAAGTGGGATACAATGACATCCATCAACCAAGTCATTGTTTATTTGTTTGTTTGTTTCTTTATTGTAAGTAATATTCCAGCTCTTTGACGGTGGTCTGTAAATAATCGATTCTGGACCAGACAATCCAGTGATTGATATCATGCAACAAGCATGGGTTGCTGAAGACCTATTCTAACACAGAATCTTCACGGGACTCATTCGGGCTCATTGACTTTATGTTATAAATGGCCTCATTTTATTAATTAGTCAAAATAGACACATGTCGCTTCTACAAAGCACATCAATACACAGGTGATGGGGGAATATAGTGTATGCAGGACCAGAGAAATATAGATGATGCCACAATGGTGTCGTAATCAGTCTATTTGAGACAACAGTAAACATTCAAAGCTAGTCTTGCACCGTTTTCTTACCTCTGTTTCACAGGAAGTGAACCTGTACCCGACCTGTATCCTTGACCTTATGTCTGTGAGCTGGTCTCAAGACCCCGAGGAACGTCCCTCCGCAGCAAGTATTGTGACCATCGCCCGCTCTCCCCTGTTCTGCCACCTCCGTGACGTTGTCTCTCTTGGCCAGGAGACCAAGATCCTATGTGGGTGCTCGGTACCTGCCAGGGAGGCCCACGACTTCACCCTGAGTATGTGACCTATTTCATATTAATCTTTTGAAATGTGTATGCAAAACTTAAGTAGAAGCATATCTCCCTAAATATCAATTAAACAGGCATGCTGGTTAAAGCATTCAATCTTCAATTCCATAAAAGGGGCGGTCGGGTAGCCTAGTGGTTAAAGCGTTAGCTCGTCACGCCGAAGACCTGGGTTCGATTCCTGACATCGGTACAATGTGTGAAGCCCATTTCTGGTGTCCCCCGCCGTGATATTGCTGGAATATTGCTAAAAGTGGCTTAAACCTCACTCACTCACTCACTCAATCAATTCCATAAAAAACAAATCAGTAAAAGTAAGTGTTAAAAAAGTCAAGCTATTTGATACTACAAATATTACAGAAGTGATCAATGACTTCTCCCCTATTGTCGCTGCAGGTGCCTCATCTCCTGGCTCCCCTGGCATCGACCCCGAGCTGCTGTCAGATTGCTCACAGTCGGAGCCCGAGACACGTGCTCAGATCTGGCTCAGTGTGTGTCTCGGCCCGCGATACTACATTGACATCCTGTCATATGACCGCTGGAGCCATTGTGTTGATAGCAAGGTAAGGGGACACGCACATAGTCTGATAATTGTGAAATGATATGTATTGCACTTGATTATACTGACTTATACCCAGTACTGACACTTCCATGCAGTACTGACACAGTACTGACACTTCCATGCAGTACTGACACAGTACTGACACTTCCACGCAGTACTGACACAGTACTGACATTTCCATCCAGTACTGACACTTAGACCCAGTACTGACACTTCCACCCAGTACTGACACTTGTACCAAGTACTGACACTGATATCCAGTGTTTATGATAATATTTTCAGACTATCCAACTGCCAGGAGCAGAAGTGACGGCCATGTCTGTCATCAACAGCTACGTGTGGTGTGTGGATGCAATTGGGAAAGTCATGGTGTTCAGGTGAGCTAAGTCTTCATGATCCCCTTCAGGATTCCACGGTGTAGTGAAATATTTCCTTGAGTTGGCATGTAGGTTTCACTGTATGACTGTGTCTGCTTGTCCTCAGCTCGGAGAGTCAGCAGCTTGTTCACTCCTTCAAGCTGCCAGTGATGATGGTTCCCCAGGTGCATGGCCTCTACTACGTCCCCACTGAACCGGCCATCATTGTCACGCTGAAGAATGGCAACATATTTGTGAGGAGCCAGCCCCAGCCTGGCCCACTGTCTGATTCCCACATGGACCTGTACCAGACAGCCAAGAGCTACAGTTCCTGCTGCATCAAGATGAGGGACAGGTGGGTGCAGGGAGGTACAGATGGGAGGGGGACAGGTGGGTGCAGGGAGGTACAGATGGGAGGGGGACAGGTGGGTGCTGGGAGGGGGACAGGTGGGAGGGGGACAGGTGGGTGCTGGGAGGGGGACAGGTGGGTGCTGGGAGGGGGACAGGTGGGAGGGGGACAGGTGGGTGCTGGGAGGGGGACAGGTGGGTGCAGGGAGGTACAGATGGGAGGGGGACAGGTGGGTGCAGGGAGGTACAGATGGGAGGGGGACAGGTGGGTGCAGGGAGGTACAGATGGGAGGGGGACAGGTGGGTGCTGGGAGGGGGACAGGTGGGTGCTGGGAGGGGGACAGGTGGGTGCTGGGAGGTACAGATGGGAGGGGGACAGGTGGGTGCTGGGAGGGGGACAGGTGGGTGCTGGGAGGGGGACAGGTGGGTGCTGGGAGGGGGACAGGTGGGTGCTGGGAGGTACAGATGGGAGGGGGACAGGTGGGTGCTGGGAGGGGGACAGGTGGGTGCTGGGAGGTACAGATGGGAGGGGGACAGGTGGGTGCTGGGAGGGGGACAGGTGGGTGCTGGGAGGGGGACAGGTGGGTGCAGGGAGGTACAGATGGGAGGGGGACAGGTGGGTGCTGGGAGGGGGACAGGTGGGTGCTGGGAGGGGGACAGGTGGGTGCTGGGAGGTACAGATGGGAGGGGGACAGGTGGGTGCTGGGAGGGGGACAGGTGGGTGCTGGGAGGGGGACAGGTGGGTGCTGGGAGGGGGACAGGTGGGTGCTGGGAGGGGGACAGGTGGGTGCTGGGAGGTACAGATGGGAGGGGGACAGGTGGGTGCTGGGAGGGGGACAGGTGGGTGCTGGGAGGTACAGATGGGAGGGGGACAGGTGGGTGCTGGGAGGGAGACAGGTGGGTGCTGGGAGGGGGACAGGTGGGTGCTGGGAGGGGGACAGGTAGGTGCTGGGAGGGAGACAGGTGGGTGCTAGGAGGGGGACAGGTGGGTGCTGGGAGGGGGACAGGTGGGTGCTAGGAGGGGGACAGGTGGGTGCTGGGAGAGGGACAGGTGGGTGCTAGGAGGGGGACAGGTGGATGATGGGAGGGAGACAGGTAGGTGCTGGGAGGGGGACAGGTGGGTGCTAGGAGGGGGACAGGTGGATGATGGGAGGGAGACAGGTGGGTGCTGGGAGGGGGACAGGTGGGTGCTAGGAGGGGGACAGGTGGATGATGGGAGGGAGACAGGTGGGTGCTGGGAGGGGGACAGGTGGGTGCTAGGAGGGGGACAGGTGGATGATGGGAGGGAGACAGGTGGGTGCTAGGAGGGGGACAGGTGGGTGCTAGGAGGGGGACAGGTGGATGATGGGAGGGAGACAGGTGGGTGCTGGGAGGGGGACAGGTGGGTGCTAGGAGGGGGACAGGTGGGTGCTGGGAGAGGGACAGGTGGGTGCTAGGAGGGGGACAGGTGGATGATGGGAGGGAGACAGGTAGGTGCTGGGAGGGGGACAGGTGGGTGCTAGGAGGGGGACAGGTGGATGATGGGAGGGAGACAGGTGGGTGCTGGGAGGGGGACAGGTGGGTGCTAGGAGGGGGACAGGTGGATGATGGGAGGGAGACAGGTGGGTGCTGGGAGGGGGACAGGTGGGTGCTAGGAGGGGGACAGGTGGATGATGGGAGGGAGACAGGTGGGTGCTAGGAGGGGGACAGGTGGGTGCTAGGAGGGGGACAGGTAGGTGCTGGGAGGGGGACAGGTGGGGGCTGGGAGGGGGACAGGTGGGTGCTGGGAGGGGGACAGGTAGGTGCTGGGAGGGAGACAGGTGGGTGCTGGGAGGGGGACAGGTAGGTGCTGGGAGGGGGACAGGTGGGTGCTGGGAGGGGGACAGGTAGGTGCTGGGAGGGGGACAGGTAGGTGCTGGGAGGGGGACAGGTAGGTGCTGGGAGGGAGACAGGTGGGTGCTGGGAGGGGGACAGGTAGGTGCTGGGAGGGGGACAGGTGGGTGCTGGGAGGGGGACAGGTAGGTGCTGGGAGGGGGACAGGTAGGTGCTGGGAGGGGGACAGGTAGGTGCTGGGAGGGAGACAGGTGGGTGCTAGGAGGGAGACAGGTAGGTGCTGGGAGGGGGACAGGTGGGTGCTGGGAGGGAGTCAGGTGGGTGCTGGGAGGGGGACAGGTGGGTGCTAGGAGGGAGACAGGTAGGTGCTGGGAGGGAGTCAGGTAGGTGCTGGGAGGGAGACAGGTGGGTGCTAGGAGGGAGACAGGTAGGTGCTGGGAGGGGGACAGGTGGGTGCTGGGAGGGAGTCAGGTAGGTGCTGGGAGGGGGACAGGTGGGTGCTGGGAGGGGGACAGGTTGATGATGGAGGTGGACAGGGGTGATGGGAGGGGGACAGGTAGGTGCTTGGATGGGAACAGGTGGATGATGGGAGGAGAATGGTAGGTGTTGGGAGGGGGACAGGTTGATGATGGAGGTGGACAGGGGTGATGGGAGGGGACAGTTAGGTGTTGGGAGGGGGACAGGTAGGTGTTGGGAGGGGGACAGGTTGATGATGGGAGGGGGACAGGTAGGTGTTGGGAGGGGGACAGGTAGGTGTTGGGAGGGGGGACAGGTGGGTGATGGGAGGGGGGACAGGTGGGTGATGGGAGGGGGACAGGTAGGTGTTGGGAGGGGGACAGGTTGATGATGGAGGTGGACAGGGTGGTGCTGGGAGGGGGACAGGGTGGTGCTGGGAGGGGAACAGGTGGGTGCAGGGAGGGCAACAGGTGGATGTTGTGAGGGGGACAGGTGGATGATGGAGGGGGACAGGTGGATGATGGAGGGGGACAGGTGGAAGATGGGAGGGGAACAGGTGGGTGCAGGGAGGGCAACAGGTGGATGTTGTAAGGGGGACAGGTAGATGATGGAGGGGGACAGGTAGGTGCTGGGAGGGACACAGGTAGATCCTGGAAAGAGGACAGGGCAGACGGGTTGAATTCTCTAATCAAGAAATATGGGATAGGCTGGTGTACTACCTTCTGTACTGACAGATGTTTGGTGTTGCTGCAGGTACGAGATATGGCTGGGTCAGGACGGCGGCAAGGTCGACGTGTGGGATGTACATGAACACCGGGTCTTGGAGACGCTGAGTCACCCGGAACCCATGGCCACCAACAAGTGCTGCAAGTTCCTGGTGGCGGCCAAGATCCCAGGGTCTGAGGACACACTTGTGTGGTCGTATGTCTACCCGGGTAGGGTGTTCATTCTCACATGTTCCTGTAATCAGTATCAGTCAGACTTAGGTATTTCCAAGCTCATATTCACCCTGTAATAATCCTTGGTTTGGCAGCTTGCTGTGGGTAAATGTCTAAGACCTGCATCACTTTGGGCTTTCTTCACACATAAGGCTGGCATGTAATGATAGGACTGAAATAATGTTGGAAGCGACCTCACTCACTCACCTTTGAACAAAAAATAAATTGGATATACAGTGAAACTTCACTTATCCAGACATGAAGACGGATGTGAAACATGACTTTCTCTCAATCTAGTGCAGATCTTGTGTCATTACACAATATAATCAGACAATATAATCAAATTGATTGCCTCAATAATATTTTACATCAACAGATGCTTGGATGATCAATGTTTCACGATAGCAAGTCATGAGTCAAGTCAATAAAACAAGTGCAGTAAGTTTGAATACTAAAGAATGTGTGTGTCAACTGTGTTTACTGTCCTACCTGTGCAGGTGTGCTGGTGTATCGCTGGGACGTGAAGACGCGGGCGGTTGTCGAGACACTGGACTGTTCCAGGGTAGCGCCATCTACTGAGTCCCCCAACAGGAGCTCAGGTGAGCATCCTCATCTTCAGGTTATCTCCTGCTCAGCTCCAGTCAGGATACCAGGACCTGGGGCTGTAGTTGGAAACATTCTCAGAATCAAAAGTTACTCCTAAGTGTAGAATATATTGAGAATTCTCTAAGAGGTACTCTTAGTGTAAGAATTTACTAAAGACCTTGTTATAAAACCTCTTTAGACAAAAGATTACTCTAAGAATGAGCAAAGTTAAGAGTGATCACAGAGGACTCCTAAGTCAACTCAAGACTTTTCGGGCTACCTTTAGAATACAGCACCTCACAAGCTCCGACGTTCATACAGTAGCCCTCAGGTTCATTCTCCAATGAACTCAAACAAAGTGAAAGTCAATTCTTATCATTTTTTATATCACTATTTTTTCCTCAAAGGACATGTGTATGTGTGACTTCATGTTTACACTGACAGCCATACAACAACCAGCTATATCGCGGAATAAAATAGTTCCCTTAAAACGAGTGGTGACATGAGCGTATGTATGCTCAACAGGGACAACTTTTGTATATCTGTAAACAAATGCACTCAAATAATATCTTCATTAGATGAGAAAGGTCTGTTAAGAACTCACCCAGTAAGTCAGTCACAATGAGAGCACGTCGTAATACATTTACATCAAGTACAAGACATCAAAATGGGCGACACAATAAAGGTGACGGGAGGGATTTCAGAAGTTGTTAAGAACCTGTGGCGGTTACAGGTTTTAGTCATCATTGATCAACTAGCCGATCATTGAAAGGTGATTGTAAAGATGTTTCCAATAGATACCCAGGTAAATTCATAGATTGCTGTAGACTGTCACTGTAGTCTAGACACGGATCGAGTAGAAAGTAAAATACTTTGGGTGTGCTTTTCTTTGTTTTGTTCTCTAGGACGGGTCGTAGCAAGGATATTCGTGAATAATCATGCAGTCCAACTCTCTGACATTTCTCAATGTATACTGGAATACTGAGTTCGAGATTAAATGCCCTAAATGATGAGAAATGTTTCTGAGTTTATTCATGCAAGGGAATTCCCAGGAGTGTGGGAGCAGTCCATCAGTGTGTACGTCATTTCAAGAATAAATTCTGTGTGAACGTCAAAATGTGTCATTCATACACTTATGAACTTCAGTTTCGTGGTCATGTGACCGACACCTTGTCCAATGGAATAGCCGTATATTGTGTAAACTTCACATTAAAAAATTATTTGCATGTATACAGGAACGTATAATGTTCCCCCATCACCGACCCACCTATACACTCGATCCCTGGCAGCAAAATTTATAGATGTAACCTATAGATCACGGCAAAAAATAATTATAATTACCCGGTACCTCTATCTAAATTCGTATTTCACATCTTTAAAGTTAAATTATAAACAGTTTCAGGGCGATCATCTTGTAATAATAGTTGTGTAATACAACGACAAAAAACTATTTCAGTCAATGTTTTCCTTTCTCCACAGGCCAGAATTCTTCCAACAAGTATCAGGTGACCGCCATGAATGTCCTCGGGAGCTATCTGTACCTGGGTACAACATGGGGCAATGTCATCGTTGCCGACTCCGCCACGCTCAAACCCCTCAGTATGTTCAAGTGCCACTGTGCGAAGGAGTTTTATATCAGAAGCATCTTTCCCTTACTGTCTGAAGAAGGAGCTGTTCAGTCAGATGACTCTTTCTGTAGTCCCGGCATTGTCACTCTTGGAAGAGGATATATCGATATCATCAAAGAATCAAAAGCACCATCTCCTAAATCTCTTGCGGAGAGCGATCCCCCTGACCTTGAGAGTAGACCTAGAACTACGACCTTGACGCAGGACTTGATGTCGCGAGACCCAACCCTCCACCACAACTTTGTTCTGTCATGGTGGGCCCGGGGTTGGGAGCTGTTCTGAAGACAAGGGAGCTTACTCTTGGCAGTCTTTGACCTAGAGGTGTTAGTGGGACAAGACAGGAGCATCAGGGTGTAAACAGTGAATGACGGCATGTTACTGTCCCCCCAAGACTGTGCAATGGACACACAAATCTACACTGTTTTCTGTGTCGTTTGAATGAAACGGTGCCAGGTCTCGTCTAAATGACCTACTTACACATTCTTCTACAATTTGATGGAATAACAATTCTCAAGATCAAATGTCATCACACAAAATTGCTGACTCAGTTAATTCTCATGATCAAAGGTTGACACACAAGATCAATGGTTGACACACAAGATCAATGGTTGACCACATGGAAGGGATTTTACCAGCATAGAACCCATGTTAATCCACGCTTAATAATTATGTAGAAGACCTGAGATGTTTTCCATACCAGGGCCCTGTCTTAAATGTGATCTGAGAGCTTCCCAGTCCATACCCCTATACTTACCAGTGCATGGACTTGTCTTTGGGACCTGGACAATGAGTTTTACATGAAAGTTCTTTATGAACTATAAAGCTATTTATACATGATCTATTAATTTACCTCTACCCGTGCAATAAGTGTTGTTATTTCATAATGGAACTGTTACATCACTGTTATTCCGTATATTGTACACATGTATATGTATGTATACTAGCAGCCCTAGACTACAGGCTACCTTCAACTTACTGTTTAGTTACTGCATCATTTTATTTATATCATTTTGACATGCATTTAACGCAAATTGTTTGTATATGATCAGTTGAAGTGCTACAGTTTTGTTTATTTATTGCTGATTTTGCTTCCAGTGTACAGAAACTATCAACAGATTCACTCCTAATTTAAAATATTGGCCTTATTAAATATTTTAAAGTGTTCATTTGCAGAAGTGATTTATGTACATAATTCTGAGTTATTTAATGTGTTAAGTAACCGCTTGTTGATTATTCATTCCATACATCTTGTGGTGCAGCTATTCCATGTAATATTGGTACAAAGACATTGTGTACATTCTCTGTGTTAGTGTTCAAGTTCATGCTAATGTTGTAACTGTGGACTCTTGTGAACAATTATTATGTACATCCTAAGCCTTCTTAGGCCTAGACTTTTTTTGTTTGGTTTATGGATTTATTTCCTCAAAATGTTAAATAGGTAGGAGTAGGAATTTGTCATAATTTGTAGTGTTTTGAATTTTTTAACATAAATTTTCAACAGGTTTTAATTTTAGTATTTTAAATAATTTACTTATATTGATAGCAACAGTAAATGAGTTTTGAAAAAAATCTTTTTAATTATTTCTTGTCAGCGGAGAAAAAACCACTGCTTTTCATTTATTTTTTTCACATTTCAACTTTTGGGAGTTGGCCAATTTGTAAACCAAATACATGTACATAAAAGTCTGACCTTGAAAGTCAGTACATATACATGTTACTGTAAAAATACTGAACATCGCGCATGTAATTGCCATTTATTTTTCCCAAATAAACGATTGACCCAAACAACTTCATACCCCAAAAATATATAAAATACCAATAATTAATTTTGTTCAACTGACCCAAGCTGTTCGGTTAAAATCCATGAAACATTAAATAAGAAAAAGTGTGGCCTAATGCAGCTGTTTAAGTTATAATTGACATTTTTTCGAATCAGTGTAAAGATCTGTGGTTGACTACGAAAGTATCAACGTGAAAGCAGAAGCGGAATAGGATTTCTACAAGTACCAATAATCTGTGTGGGAGCACAGACCATGTGTAAATAGTTTAACAAACATTGTGAAAATTATCATGTGAAGGAAGGAGTCCCGCAATGTCAGCGGACTCAATAGTTTCTCACATTGTATACACCAAATGCTTTGAGAATTAAACACTGTCTGGTTGACCCTCAATGTCGTCTTTGTATTATGTGTTTCTGGGTCATGCAGGCCAGAATAGGTCTCCAGCAACCCATGCTTGCCGTAAAAGGCAACTCTGCTTGGCGACTAGCAGGATTGGTGGTCAGGCTTGCTGACTTGGCTGCGTGGATCGATGCTCGTAATGTCAATCACTGGATTGTCTGGTCCAGACTCGATTATTTACAGACCAACATCATATAGCTGGAATATTGCCGAGTGTGGCATTAAACAACAAACAAACAAACAAAGTTTTCAACCTATGCATCAGATCCGTACATATCGCTCAATTGTAGAGGTCATCATACCTTGACAGACATTGCATTTGGTGAATGGTTGAATTTGACAGATATGACAATCCATTTAACCAAACATTATTTGTTGACAATTCCTATGCAAACATTGGTCAAGTCTGATAATCAGCAGAATCAGTTAAGACAAAGATTACATATGATAATGATAAAAACTTTGTACTCATTTTGGAATAACAACTTCCAACATATTTATTGATAAATTAAATTTATCTGATAAATGTGAAAATTCAACAAAGTCACATGCTCCAATCTCAAATGAGATCTTTCACTCCAATTCGATCCTTCTTCTTGGCCTTGACAGATCATGTCTTAAAATGTCTGCAAAACAATTCCCACAGGCTCTTAAGGATATGTACTAGCACCACGTAGTTGAAACATCAATTTCTAACAAAACCTTAAAGCACTTACAGGACAGAAATGAGACGCATGCTTCAATTCAACACAAGTCAGAAAGTTTAAGTATACAGCAAGGGCAACAACCATTTTTTCATCAAACTTCAACATTTGTGTAGGCAGCGTGTGTTTTGGTCAGCAGGTTCCCTCATCTCCTGATGTTCCATCTCCAGCCTTAACCCAACCTCACATATGCAGTCACATGGGGGCTAGTTGAATAAGCGCCCTCATGTACTGATGTTCCACCACCAGTCTTGGCCCGCAGGTGCCCTCATCTACTGATGTTCCACCACCACTCTTGGCCTGCAGGTGCCCTCATGTAATGATGTTCAACCACCAGTCTTGGCCCGCAGGTGCCCTCATGTACTGATGTTCCACCACCAGTCTTGGCCCGCAGGTGCCCTCATCTACTGATGTTCCACCACCAGTCTTGGCCCGCAGGTGCCCTCATCTACTGATGTTCCACCACCAGTCTTGGCCCGCAGGTGCCCTCATGTACTGATGTTCCACCACCAGTCTTGGCCCGTAGGTGCCCTCATGTACTGATGTTCCACCACCAGTCTTGGCCTACAGGTGCCCTCATCTACTGATGTTCCACCACCAGTCTTGGCCAGCAGGTGCCCTCATGTACTGATGTTCAACCACCAGTCTTGGCCAGCAGGTGCCCTCATCTACTGATGTCCCACCACCAATCTTGGCCAGCAGGTGCCCTCATGTACTGATGTTCAACCACCAGTCTTGGCCAGCAGGTGCCCTCATGTACTGATGTTCAACCACCAGTCTTGGCCAGCAGGTGCCCTCATGTACTGATGTTCAACCACCAGTCTTGGCCCGCAGGTGCCCTCATCTACTGATGTTCCACCACCAGTCTTGGCCCGCAGGTGCCCTCATCTACTGATGTTCCACCACCAGTCTTGGCCCGCAGGTGCCCTCATCTACTGATGTTCAACCACCAGTCTTGGCCCGCAGGTGCCCTCATCTACTGATGTTCCACCACCAGTCTTGGCCCGCAGGTGCCCTCATCTACTGATGTTCAACCACCAGTCTTGGCCCGCAGGTGCCCTCATCTACTGATGTTCCACCACCAGTCTTGGCCCGCAGGTGCCCTCATCTACTGATGTTCAACCACCAGTCTTGGCCCGCAGGTGCCCTCATCTACTGATGTTCCACCACCAGTCTTGGCCAGCAGGTGCCCTCATCTACTGATGTTCAACCACCAGTCTTGGCCCGCAGGTGCCCTCATCTACTGATGTTCCACCACCAGTCTTGGCCCGCAGGTGCCCTCATGTACTGATGTTCAACCACCAGTCTTGGCCCGCAGGTGCCCTCATCTACTGATGTTCAACCACCAGTCTTGGCCCGCAGGTGCCCTCATCTACTGATGTTCCACCACCAGTCTTGGCCCGCAGGTGCCCTCATCTACTGATGTTCAACCACCAGTCTTGGCCCGCAGGTGCCCTCATCTACTGATGTTCTACCACCAGTCTGGGCCAGCAGGTGCCCTCATCTACTGATGTTCAACCACCAGTCTTGGCCCGCAGGTGCCCTCATCTACTGATGTTCCACCACCAGTCTTGGCCCGCAGGTGCCCTCATGTACTGATGTTCAACCACCAGTCTTGGCCCGCAGGTGCCCTCATCTACTGATGTTCAACCACCAGTCTTGGCCCGCAGGTGCCCTCATCTACTGATGTTCAACCACCAGTCTTGGCCAGCAGGTGCCCTCATGTACTGATGTTCCACCACCAGTCTTGGCCCGCAGGTGCCCTCATCTACTGATGTTCAACCACCAGTCTTGGCCCGCAGGTGCCCTCATCTACTGATGTTCCACCACCAGTCTTGACCAGCAGGTGCCCTCATCTACTGATGTTCCACCACCAGTCTTGGCCCGCAGGTGCCCTCATCTACTGATGTTCCACCACCAGTCTTGGCCCGCAGGTGCCCTCATGTACTGATGTTCCACCACCAGTCTTGGCCCGCAGGTGCCCTCATCTACTGATGTTCAACCACCAGTCTTGGCCCGCAGGTGCCCTCATCTACTGATGTTCCACCACCAGTCTTGGCCCGCAGGTGCCCTCATCTACTGATGTTCAACCACCAGTCTTGGCCAGCAGGTGCCCTCATGTACTGATGTTCAACCACCAGTCTTGGCCCGCAGGTGCCCTCATGTAATGATGTTCCACCACCAGTCTTGGCCCGCAGGTGCCCTCATCTACTGATGTTCCACCACCAGTCTTGGCCCGCAGGTGCCCTCATCTACTGATGTTCCACCACCAGTCTTGGCCCGCAGGTGCCCTCATCTACTGATGTTCCACCGCCAATCTTGGCCCACAGGTGCCCTCATGTACACTGACTGCATGTTGGATTGTTTTTTACTGAAACGCATCACAACACTTGTCTCAAATAAACAAAGGGTGATGTGGTATGAGCATTTAATCCTCACATGGGTACAATGTGAAAGCACACACGTAGCCTGCCAAGATATTTATGCAATAATGCTAAAAATAGCAAACTATTACTGAAGACAAACCATTGAAGCAATTACAATAATAGATTTATTTTGTCAAACTTTGTCACAATGCAATGTCTACCATACAAATACAAGCATACATGTCCACAAGCGCCCAAATTCGGTCACATTTCATAAAATTTCTTTACTTCAAATTCATTAAAATTCAACAAGAAACAATCTCAGTAATTAAATGCTACTGTGTTTTAATCTCAACAATATCATGTGCAACAACATGCTTAAAACCCTTCTTACTATGCTGTACAGATCCTGTGTTCACTACTTTATTTGCACGTCTTTCACAGAATAGGAAATGTAAACACATTCTCAGTACATATCAAGGATGTATCGACCGCCTGCGTGGTCTTGTTGTAGACGAAAGCGGAAAGTCCGGGGTTCAATCCCTGGCCGCGTCATATCAAAGATGTTAAAAGATGGTACTTGTTACCTTGTCTGGTGCTGGGCATTAAGGGGCTAAAACAAGGACTGGTCTGAGTGGGGTATCCATGTTAAACTGCGGCATGGTATCTCAGTGGGCTAGCATTGTAAAATCAGCATCAGTCCGTACTAGTACAAGCAGACACACACATAAACACATGCGACGTTAAACCCCATTTCACCTCACCTCAAGGATGTTCAGTGATACATAGATGTATCAGCATTACATAGATATATTTGATACACATCCGGGATTTAGCGGCAATAAAGTGACCTTGTCAGTATGTATCAGGGATGTATCTACCACTCCAGACCTCCTACATACATATGATGGATGTATTGTCTAGACTGGAGTAGGCAACTGGTAACAGATTAGTAAAGCTGGGCTCTTACTGGATGTAAGCTATAGAGAACACTTTGTATTCACCCTGTCGATCACATAACACATTTTAAACAAATAACAGCATATAACCCCCTATGATAGCTACTCCTTGTAATCAGGGTACTATGTGGTACAGTAAACTACGGTTATAACAAACTCAAAGGTACTAATTTTAGTCTGTTATAGCCATAGTTCGTTATAAGCATATATACAGCATAACTACAGCAAATAGTCAGGAGCAAAACAGTCAGTTCGTTATATCCGACAGTTCGTTATAAGCGTGTTCGTTATAACCGTAGTTTACTGTATACCATTACATGGCCCACACCACAACCCTTCACCTGAATATCAGCTGAACTCATATTGGTGTCTGGCTCATATCGGTAGGACAAGAAGAATGCCCAATAACCTCAAAGAGTCCTCATCATATATCATGACAGTAGCCTATGACTTTCTGAAGCAAATGACAACTTCACAACTTGTAAATCAAGTTGACAACCGAGCTGCAATATTCCTGTGACCACGCGATATCTCTAACACACATTGTGGTAAGCACTAGAGATGTTCCTACCTAACAATTAAACATGAAATGTTTTCACTTGTCCATTATGTATATTCTGTATATATATAACTCCTCTCTTCTGTCTTTAAGCAATGGCTCTTGTGATAAATGAACTATTTGTGACTTCAATGCAAAATAAGATTTACAAATAACATGTAAACGTAGCAGAAGACTAGACCATAACACAAGTGCTGACACAATACTGTAAGATGTGACATGCTGATAGCTCATGAACTCATGTATTCACTATAGTATTTACTCACAAGACTGATAGGCAATATATGATATATATCCCAGTGAGTCCATATATACCGGTAAGTCATATATATCATACATACAATGCAGGAGTGACAAACAGTTTCAATGCCTCGGCCATGTATAAAATATGATATCTCGTGTT